GTGAAGATCCATGTTTGCTTTCTAAAAAGGGTCAAAAAAAACTTGAGCCGCAATTATTCTTGATTCTGTGTATCACAAGCAACCCAACCTCGGCTTCAGCTTTGTCCAAATGAAATCCTTAATATATAATGACAGGTCAAAGGAGTTACTAGCTCGAGCTTGCTCAGGGGGCAATCACCCTTGATAATTCCGCGACAGAACCTTGCTCTTGCGGGCAGGAAGCGTTGGCCCTTACGTCCGGGGGGCGTCGATCATAGTGTACGGTATGTATCAGGCTAGCCAAGCTCATTGAAATTCGGCACTGCGGATTACTTAGCCACGAGGGTCATTTCGCTAATCTGTACGTGTTCTGCTCGACATGGGCATGACGCGGCGGAGGAAGTTGCATGGGCTGGACGGGATGATGAGACGTGGCTCGATCTTCGAGACTAGATAGATCACTAAGATGACCTCCTAATTAGTGTAGCCTGCCCAGGTGCTAACTCCTAGCTCTTAGCAAAGAAGCTAGCCTAGGCCGCCATCGATTAAATCCGATGGTTTGAAATTTGATGCTAGGTAGGCTCGTGGCTTGCTCGGTTTCTGAATTGCCACGCTAACTTTGATTTGACTGCGCATTTAGGAGATGATGACCTGCAAGTGTCCATTCTTGGGTTTGTCGTATGAGAAAACCTTCTGAGGGCTATCGCGTTGCATCCCCTAGTCTGACCGAGTGCCACCAGGTTTGCTGGCATTGCGATAGGTCATAATGAAAAATTTCCTCCGGCGGTCGGGTTGATCACATGGACATTGTGGCCACTAGAAGAAACGCCGAAATGTTGATTGCTTTAACCCAATCAGCTGGATCGAGTCAATAGGATCACCAGTTCTATGGTCTCGTTGATATCTAGGGAGCATGAAAATAAACCACTTACATACATTACATGCGAGGAGCAATGACATGTATGCCATATGTATGCCGTGGAGTAAGAGACCGCTTTCAGTCTCAAAAAACAAAAAAAGTTGTAGCGAGCTGGGGTAAACCAATTCAGCTTGTGCCCCATCCGTGCTTCCGCCGAGAGCGCGATTTGGTGGCGAGCATGTTCTGTTGACACCTCTGCCAAGTTTTCCACCTAGGCCCCATCGCAGACTTGTGGATAAACCAATGAAAGGGGTCCTGAGCTGTCAATAGAGCTGATTTATGAGGCTCCCAACTCGTTATACCAAGTAGTACAAACAAAATGTGCCGTACCATAGGCGACACAACATGTGCTCAATTACCATAAATTCAAATATTGACGAGTCGATGGATAGATACCCTTGCATGATAATTTTAGTTTGCGACTTAGCTGCCGGTGATAGAAAACAATTGCCGGTCGCAGTTGGGCAGCCTCTAAATTCTAAGATACCTAGCCAAGCCCATACCATCGTCTTATTATTGGAGGGGTATTGTATCTCCACATGTCATCGGCTTTTGTTTTCTTCCCTGGCTGCTTGGTTCTCCGGACTTTTCGGCCGGACTCGATGCCGGCACGTCCAACCATCTACGAATACCGCCGAACTAATACTGTAACTGCCAGATGACAGATGCTTTCTTCCCGTTTCGATAGAGTCGGCAGGTCTGCGACAAGCTTGTTTATAATCTGAAGCAGTAACACAAAGTGACGCGCGACAGTTCAGCAAGGCTTATAAAATAAAATAAAAACGCCATCCGCCTTTCTGCAGCGATCATTACATGTGTGGCGGGGGCATGGAGCAAAAGCCCGGCTTCCTCTTTTCCTACGTAGCCCCATCAGCCCATTCCCTAGAAGGAGAATATTAGCGAATGCAAGTTTCGGGGGGCTCCAAAAAGGACGAAGTGGGATACATAATTTTGCCCAGAGGTCTGGTCCCGTGAGTAGCTTAGGTCCAAAGATCCCGTCTGGCTAGCTCGAGTGATGATGAATTTACCTACTTCCCATGCAACGCATACTACTGTGTATTATACCGCAGTACATCGAGCGGCTCCTCCCACTCGGCCGACAACGAAAGGGCCGGAGGAGGGTTGATAATGTGGAAACTGGTGGGGAACTGTGCATTGTATATCGCCAATGAGTTTCCCAAGACGGCCTAGTACTTCAAGCTATCCAAGATTTTTCTCGGGTGCTGATCGTATAAGCCCTTGCGAAGTTGCAAACTTGATAGATTCAAGCTAGTAGTTAGTCTCCGGAAGTTAGGATTCTTGGGACGACTAGCGTTAATAAGGAGGAGTCTCGAACTCCAGTCATTAATAACCTATACATTAGGCTCTTTCTTGGTGTGTTAGTGCGCGGCTGCAAGCGTCCCGTCTGCAAAAGGACCATGCAGTCGCGAAATCTACCTAGGTAACTAACCCCAACTAACCCTTTCTATGTAGTAGATAGTTGTGACATAGCTCGTGCTATAGATGTTATAGGTGTGCTAGATCTGTACTATGTAGAAAATATAGCTTATTCCATACGCGGTAGATGAAGCCGGTACCAAGCGAGCAGCAGTACGGGGAGAGAGCCTACACTAATAAGAGACTACACTAATATGAGACTAAAATCAAGGGAAGGGAGAAGTACTACCAACTAGTGCACCCAGACCACTGGAATCACACTAGAGTGCTACGTGCCGGCGCACGAGCTCCTTTCGTTACCAATTAGCCGTCATTGGAGTATTAGGAGTATACTATCTTAAGAAGTTGGGCAACTCTCGAAATTACCTACCGCCTACTTTATGTAGATTATGTATCAGCCGTATGTGCATATACGTGGTCTGGAACCCGGGACTTACTATACAGATCTTGGCTTTTGTTCCCTTTCTTCGCTACTAATAACCGACTAAGCGCTAAAGCCCGGTACGAGAAGAGAGAGAAAAAGATTCCTCTAGGATTATATTCGCTATGACCTGTAAGTTTGCGGGTAGCAGGTCGGCGACCTCTATTTTCCTTGTTGGATCTGCCATCTCCTTGAATTGTTTCTAGAATGCGTAAATAGTATGTAGGGAAGCTTGAGGAATGAACCATGGGTATATGAATGACGGTTCTCTTGGGATTCCTGTTCGTTACGACGGTACCCCTCGCTTATGCTTCCTAATTACCCCATATACATATAGCACGTTTCACAAGCATGTAACTCTGATGATAGGTTGACAAACGCGCACTTCGGTAAATCGAGCTAACTACCCAGAAGAGCCAGAAGAGCCAGAAGAGCTAAGAGAGAGCCACGGGAGCAAGAGTACGTACCTCGACCGTACTTCGCGAGCTGCTTACACGGGGGCAGGCACGGGCAACGGGCAACGGGCCAACAACTACGGGGATACATAAAAAGATACGAAGTACTTTGGCTGTATTTGTCGATCAGCTCCGTCCGACTAAAATGTACCGGCCCACATCAAAGTTAACATCATGTCTCTCTTCCCACAATCCATAATCCATAATCCATAATCTGCAATCATAATAAGTAAGAGGTAAGTTGGGTATGTAACAACCACAATACAACCCCTAGACTGCATACGTACACTTTACATACACAATTAATCAGTCAATCAATCAATCAATCAATCAATCAATCAATCAATCAATCAATCTACTTACGGTAGTGCACGGGGGTGTTCTCGCCTTATGATCTATGATCTTCAGGCATCCCTTTAGCTTTATATCGGCGTAACCCCGTAATGACTAGCCTCCTCCTAGCCCTGACCTTGACCCTGACCCTGATCTCACTTATTCCTTTTACCGAATGTGTATTCATACATACTTACCTATATACATAACTACATGCTACTAATACATAGTTAGCGGTACGTATCTACTCTACCCGAGCCGCTGCCCCATATTCTACACTTTTTCTATACGATTAGCTAGCTAAGACTTGGAAAGGCTAGATTATGCCCGGCTAGGTTAGGCATACTCGGCCAATTCGCTCATTATAATTACATACATCCAGTCTCATGTAAGTATGTAAGTGACTAAAACCAACACCATGCCGTCGGAGCCGATACCTAGCCGTCATAAGTGGAAAGAGCACCTCACGGATTTTTGTGACAAGGGGGGGTAACGGTTACCAAGTCGTTCGTTGTACTTGCCATGGGGCAGTGGCCATGGAGGTCTAGGTTTTAGTACATATTATAGTACATACTACATAGGTAGGTATGTAGTTCGCTTGGTAGTCGCTTGGGACTTGGGATCTTAGGATGTACCTACCTAGGTAACATATTATTATTATTACCTTTATTATCATTATCATTATTATTATCATTATTATTCCTACCTAATATTTCCTATGTATTCTTTCAGCAAGGTGACCCCAGACTGAGAGGTAACAAGATTCAAAGCCATCATCTGTGTAACAAAGTCCATGTAGTTACCAGATACATACATACATACAATACCTCATCCTCCCAATCCCTCCTCTCTTCAATAATTGTCTTGCCCTCTCGAATTATATTTCTTCATCGATACGTCCATATTAACTTTATTTTTACTGTATCTGTACATTTATCTGTACATTCAACCTCACTTACAGGCTCACTTACAGGCTCACTTACAATATCGTACATTGGCTAAATTTGACTATCACGCGAGTCGGAAACCTATCGTCCCTTGGCCTGTGTCAGCTTATATAGAATCTGACACTGTTCACCATCTGATCTAGCTATCAAGCACGTAGACCGCTTTCAACATTCCTCACGGACCTAATTAGACGATTAGAAAGCACTCCGGATTGGATAGCAGCACGCTGAATCTGAGCGGCCAATTATCCGGAATTCTGGCCACTCTCAGCGACTCGGCTCGACGACTTACAGCTCAGAGGGTGGGCGTGTGTACTTACCAACTACGCCGCTGGACGACCTTTACCCGGCAGATACCCAAAACAGTCAACTAATTCGGCGTGTATCTTTGATCTCTACCTACGCCGTTCTTTCTTGATTTTGATAGTTTTACTTGCGAACATACAAACAGCTGCTAAATTTTAGCTTGATATGTTGTAAGGAATTATCCAACATCGCATTCCATCTCAATGGGGATACCAGTCAGATTAGAACTTCATCGTCCATCCGCCATTCCTAATACACCTCCTGGCCTGGTCAGCCCAAGCTCATCGACTCTCACACCTAAGATTCTTGAAGAACCATCTTGGACTCCTCCTGCGCCTATTTCTCCTCCCATGTCTAACTATGATCCGAGCACCCGACCAGATATGCCGGCTACCAGAGATTTTGAGGAAAACCAGATGCGAAGAGATCTTAATGGTGCACCTCGACAGCAACTCCCACCTTTAATTAGCTTATTCGGCCCTCCTAACCACCATGTCCGCCCAACACTCTCTCCTCTCCCGGATCGACCAAGCCCGCTTCACAGTGCACACTCTCCTTTGGATAGGCCACACTCAAGGAGTTCCTCTTATTTTCCAAACGTATCTCCTTCCTTGAGCCAGCCTCGCAGCGTCTATGAGCCGAGGCCGGAAACGGAGCGGCCAACACTCCCCTCAGTTGCTTCTCAGTTTCCTGGACCGCTAAGGTCTCCTACGCACGAGTATGGACATTTGCATCGTGCAACGCAAGCCGAGCCTGTTCCGTCTGGAAGGTGGGCGGATTCAAGGCGGGAGTATGTGTTCGAGTCCCGGCCACCAAGTCCCCCTTACAGGCCGGTAAGCGAGCGTATGCCACTCCCTCCTCTAACTCAGCGATTTGGCTATGAATCAAGTCCAATATTCAAGAGGGAAAGTCAAATGCGTCTAGATCCGGCAAGTCGCTCGCCGACTCTAGCGAGCGTAGTTGCACCTGAAGGTGCGCCGGTAAAGGACGGGCTAGGACCTAAGATATGGACGGGAACACACTTTTTGCCTCGATTTGTGAAGCAGGCTGAGGTCCCAGGAGAGGGACTGTGCTATTTCTATGATGATGGAACTCACTGCAAGACGGTCATTGACGGAGAGCCGGTTAATGCCCACTGGGGAGTTACGAAGGCTGGGAAACCGAGGAAACGACTTGCGATAGCTTGTCTCACGTGTCGGGAGAAGAAGATCAAGTGTGACCCTGATTATCCTCGATGTGTTCAATGTGAAAAATTCGGCAGGGTTTGCAAGTTTAAGAACGCGTAAGTCTAGAGAGTTGGTGCTAAATTCCATATACTAACCTTTAACATAGTCCTCGTGGTGGTCACAATACGTCTCCGGTGGCTTCATCGGCTGAGCACGAACTATCTAGGTCGCTTGGATCGCACTCAGGCGCAATAGATTTCGGAAGACCTAGGAGCGCCTCAAGTACGTCAGTCTCGCCGCGTACCACGAAAATGAGCCATCCGTCTCCCGAACTATACCCTGGCTTATCCTCTAAGAGGATGAGGTTTTCGTATGACGACTATCCGCGACAACCACCGCCCCCAACAAGTCGTCCTCCCCCAATGATCCCTATCTCCGAGATCAAACGGGCGCCTAATGGCAGTATGCCATCCTGGCAGCATCACGATTTACCTCGCGATATCCTTTGTCGACCATGGCAAACAGACTCGTATGTATATGCCCTCTAAATAATCACTCAACCACCTGTCTTTTCTCTTTCACATGACTATCAAGAGCATTGTGCTATCTATTCGATTAGCGCTGCTTTAAAATCACACCCAAAATATAATGACCGTAATGCTCATATATCTAATACATAGGAGACCCCATACACGTGTATAGAACTTTTAAATTCTTTCGAGCCGAATAACTTTACCGACGAAGTAACTACACGGCTACGAACTTATTCTGGCTAATCTGAGGATACGTCCGTTCTGTTTGGCAAACATGAAAAGGAAATAGTACCTAATATTAATGGATACGTCAAAAGCGGAGTTGTCTAGGGGCTGGTAGCGTTCACGGCCAGGCTTGTCGGCCTTGGAAAGAGATAACAGGATACTTCAAGAGATTTAAGCGATAAATGTCTAGTTTTGATGCTAATTTGGGGAGTTGACATCAAGAGGTTTATGCTTATTCCTGATCGGCTTGCATTGATTTTCCGGTTCTATTACGATACCCCTCAACGGCGTGGAGGACATGGAAAGGGTACTCAAAACCGTTACCGAGATGTTAATCGGTTGGTGGGGAAGGCGACGATCCCCCTTCAAGCCTTCTTGATTAGGCGGTCTCAAAGCCTCTTAATCCAGGAGTTCCCTATCCGAGCATCTTCAAGGCTTTGATAACATGCTTTCGGGATGGTCCTATTCTACACCACAACTTCCTTCGACAATAGCCGAGTTCATTTACAATAGCGAGCCGTACCGCTACTTTATTGGTACTATGGCGACTTTTACAATATTTCGGCCCTTCAACCGAATATTTACACACAGTTTACTAGATAGCCCATTATTGGTTGGGGTTAGGCAGCATCCTGGCGGGCGTTTTGATTTTGATATGCATGTCTTGAACGGCCTCAAAGCATTTGGAAGGTGGGCACGAGGATGAGATTTGGATATCCTGGTTTTTGCATTGAATGATTCATCTGGCTATTTGGATTAACTGCATGTTGCGCCTCCTTTTTTATTTTTATTTTTATTTTGTTTAGGCCTTACACAGTTGGTTACCAGTTTCATGTCTATTGTTTATAAAGAATACCCTGTACTATACCCCTATTTATGACATTTGAAAGCACATATACGCCGTAGGACTACGTACGGAAAAGGATGGAATAAAGCAAGGAGGCTCAAGGCGGAAGAGTAGGTAGTCAGTCAATAAGGAGGGATGAATAAAAGTTCACTTTGATATAACAGTCATGTGTTACCCTCTACTCAACACTTAGAATTGTGACACTTGAGCCAACAAAACAATACATAGCTTAATACATAGCTCATAAGAAGCCCATTGTGTAACGTGTGTATAACGCACCTTACTCGATTTTGAAGGATCATTCGAGCGTTTTAAGACTAATAAAGGGACTAATAAAGGATGGATTGTGTCACTCGTAGGTAGACAGCACGAGAAGAGCATTGTTGGCCGAGGCTAAGAATCCTGCAATCGCCGCGTGATCCAATCGCATGCCGAAAGCGAGGCATGTCGTTGTTCAGGCAGCGGTTAGATAGCCATCAGATAGCCATCAGATCATAATTCATTTTTCGATGCCACGCGAAAAGTTGACGCCACAGCGGTTCTTTCTTTTTCCCCCTTCCCTCCCTTCTACCCATCCACCCTCCTCTTCGAAGAGGGCTAGTCACGTTTCCTGCAGGGAGCACACCCTTTTGCTTATTTATTCCTAGCAGGATTTTTTTTTAGGGTACGCCCGTGCTTGTTTTCCTCCGTGAGTTGGTGGTTAATATTGGGACTTGACTTATCGGGCGGGAAGAAAGCCAAAACGGGGACCTGGCCCGCTGCTGTAAGCCCCCTTCCCCCTCCCCCCTCCCTCCCCTCCCCGTACGAAATAGACGGAATGGGAAAACTCATAGTCCCACTCGGAGATACGAAACCGGGCTACCAGAACTCGTTACGGCCGGTAGCGCTGCTGGAATCAGGAAAGCTGCGCTGCGAGATGCTGTATGGGGTCATGTCGGGCCATGGGGTATAGGTATGTATGTATGTATGTATGTACGTATTAGAACTTGGAAGATATAGTTGCCTTACACGCGTAGAAGTACATAGGGAGTAGGTAAGGTATATGTATGAGGTATGTATGTATGTATGTATGTCTGTATATAATGGATGGATGTATAGGACGGGACTCACGTACATGACATGTAGGCTGACTGCAGCTTCAAAACCACGTTGCACGATGCTGTCAGCTATTACGCTGCTACGGGGGGAACCTGTATCTCGAAGCCATGCGTGCGCCACACGACACATCTCACGGTAGATGAGAAGAAGGTAGATTGTTGTTGCGCCATCCCCCCGTCTCCTATTCGTTGCCGCACGTTGAATATAGACTATATTATATACGCTACGCCGCCTCCCCCCCCGCCGCGCCCCGTGAGGGCATAGAATTGATTGAATGAATGACTGACTGACTGACTGATTGTCTGTCTGACATATGTTGAGACGGACACACAACATATTCCCGTACGTGTAGTGTAAGTCCTAGACGACGGGACGAGATAGGTTGGGTTGGGTATGCGCCGAAGAACTCCCGCGCAATTGATGACGACAAAACGAAAGGTTATGGATAGGTAACATTGTATTGTATTGTACACACACACACACATGGGAGAGGCGCCTTAACTCCGTGCCCTGCTGGATCTTGGTTTCTGACCCCTTCCCAATCGCAGGGATTCAGATTGCGTGTGTGTGGGTTGATTGATACCTATCCCACGACAACACAACCTCTTACCCCCCCTCCTGAGCTTACGTATGTTAGGTAGAAGTATTGGTTGGTGGGAAAAAAAAACAAAAAACAACAACAGGGCGTATCTCGCCGGGGGCGGGGAGAGACTACATAAGTTAGGTTAGGTAGTTTGTACATTATTTTGTACATTATCAATAATAATCCTATCTTAGGTAGAGACAGATGCCCTTGCCCTACGTCTCCTATCTATCTATTTCCTTAGTTACTTAGTTACCTTTTATATAGTTACATAACTATCTAATATAAGTATAACACATACATAATAACCACTATAATAATAGACTAACTACCTATCTTATGTATAAATTATCTCTTATACATACGGTAGATAGATAGTACGTCACCACCACCAACACCACAACCCCACCATGCACTACCGCGCGCCCCAGAAATAAAGATGAATAAAATAAAAAATAAAAAAAAACCATCGCATAGTAAGTACTATATAAGTATGTGGGTATATGGGTATATGAGTATATGAGAGGTAGCTAATGTATGTATACATACATAAAAGCAACCGAGCAGGTATATTATATTACATACATACCTATGTACGGATCCGTACAGCCAGCCCAAATCGAAATAAAAATAAAATATCGCGAAACCAACCAGCCTATGTTAGGAGGTAGGGTTGCACCGTGGAGACCCAGGGGACTGGTCGCCCGTGGGTACGTACTACTACTAGTGTAGATGGATATCTACCTAGGTATATACCATGTATATACCATATATGTAGCGTGGTTGTATATATGGAGGTAGGTAGTAGTATTATACTAGTGAGGTAGTGTTCGATATTGACTTACTACATGTGTGTATCGGTATATAGGTTAGGTATGTAACATACTAACTAACTAACTAACTAACTAACTAGGTACCTAACCTACCTAGTATATATGTATGTACCTCGGTACTTGGCAATCCCAAGCGGGACTTCGAGCCGGCGGTGCGGGTTTTGGTGGTGTGCATGTCCATATGTACCTAATGTATTTACATACTATTATCATGTACATACTATTATTTACATACGCTACGCTACGCTACGGAAGGGAAAAGGGTCCACGCCAAAAAGCACAAAGGGTCCCCGTAGCTAAAACAGCCTCGTATCTATACTACACTACATTACACTTTAGACTGCATTTCTACAGATAGGTAGGTTAGATATAGACATGTGTGTATGTATAAGTCAAATAAGTCAATAATCAACGTAGACCAGCCCTCCAAGGCCCACAATGTCCATCTCTTTGTGGTATACTCTGCGCCGGCCCGTCGTTATCATCATCGTCATCATCGTCCCCATATCTTTATCTGCTCGTTACGAGGAAATTGTTGCATTTTGCCCTGTCCGTGGACCGTAGGTACCTTGCTCGCTAACTTGCTCGCTAACTCGCTTGTTCTATTACCTTTTCTCGCCTCGGCTCGACTACTATGTACCATCTATATACTTAGCTAAACTCATAGCTCCCGACCGGGAATAGCTTCTTCGTAATATAATATAATATAATACACAAATAAGCAGGTATTAATAAAATCGTAAAAAGAGTATTCACGTGGCCGGCGCCGCCCGGAAGAAGAAATTCATATATCTATTCTCTTTGCTTTTCCCCTTCTGCTTTTCGGCTGGCGTTCCGAACCCCATCGCCGTGTCTTACTTTTCACACCTCACCCACCTGACCTGCGTGACATTGACAACGCCGCCTGCCTGGTTGGCTAGCCAAGAGCCAGCTCTAGCTCTCTCGCCGCTTGCTGCTTGCTGCTTGTCTAAGTGCTTACATACCTCTACATAAACACGCCCATACATACAGTTAAAGCTCGGCAGACAAGGCCAGACCCCATCTTCTATATATCCAGTCAGCCCAATGAGGAAGGTTCCGATCTCTTTCTTTTTTCTCTGCTTTGTCAATACTTGCTCAAAAGTGTCCACCAACGTGAAGGAGAGAGAGAGAAAGAGCAAGTAAAGAGGTAGTGGATAGATAGATATCAAATCAGATTGCAAACCAAGTATACCAACGTAATATCAAATACGGCATATCGTAAACGCCTCAAGCCCCATCTCCGGCTTCGTATGACAACCCCAATCCACCAATACGAGATCTCGGTACTATTACGCTGGTGAGCGCAGGTGAGCTGCATAAGATATCTTGGCTCTCTTACCCACGCCGGAGCCCTCGAGGCATCGATCCGTCGGAATAGACTCGAAACGGAGCGGCTCTTGTATGCTGAGTAACGTTGATCCCGTCATACCTACGTATATACCTTATCCTCCACTACCGGCCTCCACACTATGTACATAACATAACACAACTTCACTATACATGATGGGGGTGTCTTGCACGTATGCACTGCACTGCACTGTATGGAGATCCCACTCGCGTCGGAACTTGTAAAAGAGAAAGAAATAAAGAAAAAAAAAATACAAAAGTGGCTTATCACAGACAACCTATCAAACACGAGAGGGTATATTGTCATCAGCCGTCTGAACTGGCCAACGAGAAAAGTAACAATCGCTCCCCTTGTGACCTGGCCTGGCCTAACCTGACCAGCGAAACGCCCAGCATCGATATCGCCCGCCTACCCGTACGATCCCACGATGCAATGCTATAGTATTATACATAAACGCCTTTGCCTTTGCCTTAACCTCCTCCAACGGACCCGGATTTACTGTGCCCGCTGCTACCCCCAACTTCAGGCCGAGCCCTCCTGGCCCATCATATTAAAGGCCTGCCGTGCATATTGCGTCGCATCACCCCACGCCTTCTGCGCGTCGAGGGCCTGTCCCTGAACATCAAAGCTCTGGGCAAGCATGCCGTCTGCCACACTCATCCACAGCGTATTACCGCTCCTCTTCGCCTGATTCGAAGCCGCCTTCGCGCTCTTTAGGGCCTGGTCACCCACGATGTTCTGGAAGAGCTTGGCACGCATGACGTTGAGCGCTATCGACAACGTATGTACGTTACCTAAGGACTGGGCGCTATTCAATGCCGTAGATATATGCATCTTGACTGCTGTCATCGGGATGGGCGGGTTCGTCTGGACCGCCGCTAGCACAAGATTGTACGATGTGCGGATCTCCACGTTAGGGTGATCGCTACAGAGCGGACGGAGTTGCTCCAGGAGCTCAATTGTTAATCGGTCGTTTCTGTAATCGGGGTGCTGCATGATCCAGATCCGGTTGAAGGTCGCCAGTAGCGACACGTCAACTTCGGCTGCTTTTCGATTTCCGCTTCTTCCGCTGTCGTTGTCCAGGCTAAAGATGGGGTTGCCGAAAATTGAGTTGGCGGTTTTTAAATCGCCAGTCCCTTGATGGTACACTCCTGCAAGATATGTCGAGTATAGCACGACAATAGCCCCAAGAGGTGGCTTAACCATATCCTCTAATTTTGCCACGCATTTCTTAACCTCTGGCCATCGAGTGTGGGTTGCAAAGTGCAGACCTTGGAGGATGTAGAGATAACACATCCATTCTCTTTGCCAATCCGCTTTTGTAACAGCGTCCGCTAACGAATTTGGTAGCCCCTGTAGTCTAACGCCATCTACAGTAAAAAGTTAGAAACCGTAGTGAAACATTCTACCAGAACGACTTACTCTTTTGCAGTTGGGTTATGGCCTCTTCCCAAAGTCTAAATATTCTCTTGTCATTGCGAGGAGATTGGTACAAGAGCGCAAGGCCGCTATACGTATATCTAAAGCTACTATTAGTAGATAATAATATGATGATGAAAAGGGCGGGGTTTTTCTTACGTGACATTGTAAGCTTCTAATTTGCTCCAGAACGACATGACTAGATAGTCGTAGAAACCATTATCTGGTCCAGGCCTCAATATAGCCGCCGTATCATGGCTGATTGTCATTATATTGCTATTCCGAATGGGCAGAAGGAGTTGCGATTCTATGGGATGCCAAGAGTTGTCGTTCATGTAAGTGTCCATGTGATCCTGTAGATTTTTCAATTTCTGCATGATTACCTGGACCGACTTTTGGTGTAAACTACAGGCGAGATCTAGCATGAGGGCTAAAGCATCGAGTTGCGGTATGCGAACCGAATCCTCGAACTGATACTTTAGGGCTTGAGCAATACAGGCTTGTACACGAACTATGGCGTCGTCCTTCATAGTCTTGAGAAGACTGAGGCCCTCAAGTAATGAGGCCACCACAAAGATAGCATGTTCGTTCCTCTGGCTAGCTAGATTGGCAATGGCTTTTAGGTTATCGAGTGCGTGCGTCTCGGCAGGGTTAGCAGACTGGAGGTACATGGAAGTTTTAAGGAAGCGAAAAGCGTAAATCCAATGGTAATGTTTCACCCTGCTGCGAGTTAGAAGACATGCTTGCAGCGGTGAGGGAGCACGTACACTTCAGCATCCCTTATCCGGCCGTCTACAGCAATCATAGCTGCCTTTACTTTCTGCTGCGAGAAGAGTAATTTGATCTGAAGAAAGTGCATGGCATACTTTAGGTCGACAAATCGATTCTATATAGGTAGTCAGCGGATGACCGAGGCTTATCGAGGGTTACTAAGTGTCATTTTACTCTTTCACAAAGCGTGATACCCTTAGTCAGGGCAGTCTCAGCCTCCATCACATTGTTTGTTTCCTCGGACAATATACTGGCATATCGGAATCGTATTCTAGCTTCCAACCGCGGTGCCAATTTTGGACTCTCTAAAACAGCTTCGAGACAGCCTAATCCTGTCGCGACAAGCTTCTGATACTCGTTCAGGCTCTGAGTATCGATATTATCTACCATAGACACGGTAGATGCCCGTGCTTTGCTGAAGTATTCTTCTGCGATACATATTAAGAGGGAATTGGTATCGGCATGGTGTGGTAAGAGCCCTGGCGTCAGAGCAGGCGACCTTGTCGATCCAACACTAGGACTCCTCGCAATGCCGTGACTACTAAGCCGAGGACTTGCGGATATAGGACTGGCACGTTGATCTATTCGGGTGCCTGTACTCATATGTCTATTACCAGGATGTGGCACAAACTGTGGCGGTAACTGAGGAGACTGGGCGGTAACAGGAGAACCGACGTGTCGGGGTATGGGTGATTGGTATTGCCGTTGGTACTGCTGCTGTTGGTGCTGCTGATGCTGTTGATGTTGATGAGGGTGTTGGTGCTGAAACTGGTACTGTTGTTGTGGTTGTGATTGATGCTGGGGTTGGTGTTGAGGATGAGGCATACCCTGAGGCGGTACCGGTGTCATCGGCGTCATCTGCGGCGGCGGTGGGGTCTGATAGGACGGCGAATGCATCGGCATCGGCGGCGGCATGTGCTGCCAATCTGGCTGTTGGACATATTGGCGTTGGGGAGTAGTATGTTGGGCGGGGTGTGGCATGTTATGCAAATTTACGCCGTTCTGCGGTGAAGGTTGGATAGGCCGCTGATCGAGGGAGGGGTCGTACGAATGGAACTGGTAGTTCGCATTTTGCGATTGCTGTTGCTGTTGCGGGTGCGGGTGCGCATTGTACTGGTGAGGATGTTGCTGTGGTTGCTGTGGTTGTTGTGGATGCGGTTGAGGCGGATAAGGTGTCGAAGCGAAAACGGGATTTTGATAAGGCTGCTGAAACTGCGGGTTACTCCAGGCGTCATAGCCATTGTTCATGGCCTGGGGATATTGAGTTTGCTGGCCATTGAACCCCGAGCCTTGACCATGGGGCATCGAGCCGCGATATGTCATAATTTCATTGCACTACGCGCTATACAAACCCATCCCTATGTTATATAGGGACACAATTATATTACGTTGAAATCGGTAATTGTTGGTTTGTAGGGTTGATATCTTACACCGGTAGATATTGTTCGAGATGGTTAATAGTAGAAGATCAGCTCCAAGCGCGCGCCGCGACGTTGTAAGTCCTAGAGTAACGTCACGTGATTGTCAAAGAGTTAAACTTGACTGACGTAGATTAGGTACTTTATCTTATCGTCATCTTATCTAAGTGCCTATAGTTAAGGTAACTATCTGAATACATACAATTTAGTTAGGTACCTACCTACCTAGGTAGTTACTGTAACTAGGTACATATGTAGTACCTAGTCAACTCTTTGTAAACGTTCATAAGTTTCCCTCTCATTAAACTTGACGTAAGGGATTATCATAAGCTTCCGTGAAGAGATTAGATGCTGTGTGGGATCGGTGGTCCTCGGGCCTTGCACATGCACAACTTATTGACCACATATGTACAGTTCCACCAGTCTATTAGTATAGGTACCTCTTAAGGTATCATCGTCCGCTGCCAGGAATCTCCGATAAGATTTAGTTGCGGCTCAAAAAGTCAATTCAACAAAAAAAAAAAAGGGACTTGGATGCTATTTTCAGAACACTAAAAGATATTTAGGTACTTACTAAATGTATTATAAGTTTTCTTGATATACCAATATGGACTTACCCAGTCCATACAACGCTTTAACTGCATACCTGGTTGATTTCCCCTTCACTGTGCCTAGGTCTCGGGCGACGACATACTCGAGTAGGACCACTGTTGCCCAATGCGGTATGAACCGAGGTAAGTGGAGGGCGACAGTAACACCGAATTGCCCCTGGACGATATTATTCTAATAACGGGGCCTTCTCATCCATTTTGCCATCTTCACGTTATATACCAACCCATTCCATATCTTTAGATCAATTCTCACAGATATATCTTTCCAATTCGGCTAAGACGAGATCATAATATATATATAATCTAGTTATAATCCCCATTGAGCCCTAAACAAAAACCAATCCCTTCCCGGACTAAGACGGAGTGTACTAGCGGTCAAAATGGATTGGTTCGGACGGGCCAGTATCAACTTCACAACGTCGCCAAAATCTCTCGGTCTGAAGGAGAAAGACGGCAAAGAGACGGACTTGCTCAAAGTATGCAAGTCCACAGTCCCGTCATGCCAGCTAAACCCGTTACTCTTCAACGGGCACGCCCAGACGATGTGGACGGCCGCCAAAGCCCACGGCCCGCCGCTACACTACAAGCGGAAGATCTTCGAGGCAGACCACGCTGAGTTCAACGGCAGTTTTGTCGTGGATTTCGCTGTGACGGATCCCTCGCTTAAGGAGGAGGCTGATGAGACTCTGCCCCCGCGGACGGCGTATTTCACCGAGGACGAGCTCTCGACTCTAGGGTCGGACGATGATAGGCCTATGCTTGTCATTCTCCACGGCTTGTCAGGTGGCTCGCATGAGGTGTACCTCAGATATGCTATTGCACCGTTGATTGACAGTGGGAAGTGGGAGGCCTGTGTCGTCACTTCGAGGGGTTGTGCTAACAGTAAGATTACTACGGGATTGCTCTACAACGCGCGTGCTACCTGGGATGTTAGACAAGTAAGCCACTCCCCCAATCACCACATATACCTATTGGCTATCTACTCATATTGACGTATATATAGACTATCAAATGGCTCACAAAAACATATCCTAACCGGCCCCTATTCGGCCTAGGCTTCTCACTCGGGGCCTGCATTCTCACAAACGTAAGCCACCGACCACAAACGAGAAAGAACCACTTCAAAGAAAGTCATATTGACCCATTTTCAGTATCTCGGCGAAGAAGGCTCCGCAACCCCTCTCAAAGCTGCCGTCGTAGTAGCTAACCCCTGGGCTCTACACATATCATCCAAGATGCTTCAAAGCTCATTTATCGGACACCACATATACCAACGCGTTCTCGGCGGTAAGTACCTACTCCCCCTTTTCTCTTCCTCTTCCCTAAATACCAAAACCAAACCAAAACTAAACCCCACCCCAGACTCAATGAGAGCCCTCTCATCGCGGCATAAGGAAGAGCTTGACAAGTACACCAATATCGACACAGACCACCTACTCAGCCTCAAGTACCTCTATGAATTCGACAGAGCTTATCAGTGCCCTACGTGGGGGTACCCTACAGAAGAGGCGTACTATAGAGACGCGTCGAGCTCAGACTCGTTGCTAGCCGTACGAATCCCGCTTCTCGCACTCAACGCCGAAGACGACCCGATTGCCTCGCGACTAGCACTTCCGTACGCCGAGGCGTCGACGAATCCGTACACGGTGCTGTGTACGACTTCGCTTGGTGGGCACTTGGGGTGGTTCGAAATTGGCGGAGGGCGATGGCATGGAAAGCCCGTGAGTTATTTCAGTCCTCACCCTCGCGTCAGGTTTTACTAACGCCTATAGGTTTGTAATTTCCTCAATCATATGGCATTTGAGGTAGACTTAAACAGCATAAACGACTACGCCTACGGAGAACGAACTTACGGAAATCCTAAACATGGAACTAGTTATGATCCCACACGACGTAAGATGCACGTAAAACTCAACCGATAAGCGAGTTCTAGATGTATGTGATATAGGGTATATGATAGAGGGTTAAGATTGCATAGATTTATGATTGGGTATCTAGAGAGGAGCTGGCGTTATAGATGACATAGATCCATATCCCACCGAGCTCTAGCAGAGCTTGTTAGATAGAAATCCGTTTAGGAACTACCGCTGCCGCTGTTGAGACTTAGTTTTATGCGCCAATTTATGAACTCGTCTGTAAGAATCATTCCGTGCCCAACTTCCTCGACTTTGAATACCTCAATAGCCCCGGAACGGGGTTGTCTCCTTATTCTCCAGACACCCTCATCGTTGATAGTGTTTCTCAGCCCTATAATCACATTAGCATATATGATGACCGTGTGTATGTCTAGTCGGTCTTACACTCCAGGAAGGCGCTGGCGAAATTGATACACGCATTTGCGTTCCAGCTTCTAACCCCTCGCTTCGCAGCCGTCTCAGGGATCTTAGCCGTCTGAATCTCTTCAAGCTTCGTGAGAATCCCTTGCTGAGAACGGAACCCCACGATTATCTTCGGTACGCCAAGTAGGAAGGATTGAATCCAGAACTTCATGAGCTTTCGCTCGAAGTTCTGCATGCTTCTGTTATCACGAATTTCGACACTAGTCTTCAACTCGATCCAGTTGATTGGTGCACCTTTCTCTTTTGGCTTGGAGTCCCAGACTAAATGCCCCTCGTGAGTATGTTTTAAACCTGATGCGAAGGTAAAGACTTACTGGCATCGACCTCCCCTCCTAGACACAAGATCGTCTTGCCAATCCCGGTGCGAACTACAGAGCAATACTGAGCTTTATTATTGACGATTTTCTCGTCTCTATTCTCAATGGTTTCTCTATTGACCTCCCCCCAGGGACGCGGAAGACAAGACAGTGTCTCGAATTTGTAACCTATAACAGAGTAAGCTAACGTGAGACCTTAAATAGAGATTGCTTCCATTACCCCAGTATGTCATGACATCTGGCGAGAACTGCTGCCCCCGCCGCGACTGTTGTTGCTGATGCTGCTCTTGTTGCTTAGCTTGACCATAAGCAAAATTCTCTTCGATGAAGCTGTTGTGCTAGTAGATTAGCGGAAATACCGCCGGTGATATTCTTTCAAGCATACATGCAATCCTTCAGCAAATAATTAGCTTATATTATATCACAGGAGGATATTCGGATCGCTCACTTGGTAAAGGGTAGCATTCATCTCGAAGCTAGATAGATACTACGTTAGAATTCGAAGGGTAACATCACTTATAAGTTTACGTACCCATCCCGATCATCGAAGGGTGCCGACATGATCTATGAGAGTTAGCTGAAATTTCCTAGTGAGTATATAGCCAGTCGTGCCTAAAGCGTACCTTGGTCATCATACCGCGCCAAGTAACGACTTGCGCATCAATCTTCTTTCCTTCCTCTTCTTCATGAGCCATGATCGTCTTGAGAAGACTATCGATATGCTCATCCTTGGAGTTGTCATGCTTATCAAATTGATCGAAGCCTTTAGATAGATCGGCCCCGAGAGTGGGAGGATAGTACCACTGCATTGATCGATCATCTAGATGAAACTCGTGCTTGTCATCGTAGGAGAAGCATGCTATTTCCTATAATAAGAAGTTTAGTTGTTGGTGATGACTCCCAAGCATATAAGTGTTATAGTCGCATAACTAGTGGAAGTATACATACCTTAGGTCTCTTTACAGCTTCGCTTTCACCGTTGAAACGGCCGGTGGGATGAATATTGAAAGCGTTTGCCATGGTAGGGAGTACCACGGTATAATGTGCTATGCCAATCCTTGAGGGTCTAATGGAGAACTGTATTTTAATATTGATAATAATAGAAGGTAGTTTATAGGAATGGAAAGCCAAGGCCTTCATTAGAGAATATAATATCAAAGGTAGAATATCAAAGGTAGGAGCTTTAAATCGAGAAGGTAACAAACGCCCATGCCACTTATAACAAGGTTACCCCACAATGCCCAAGCTAGGTACCTAAGGTTAGACAGGGGTAGCTAATAATGGAACCTGGTCCCTGCTTTAACATTGTTTCTTGTCGAATGTCAACATATGATAAGATAACTACCATTTTAGCCATTGTTTCTTCAGCAATATAATAACCATAAACCATACAAAGTACTTTAAGTGCCATCAGCATAATTAATATTGCTTTTCTCTTCTACTCTTCTAATTACGATCAAATAAACAAGACACTTCATCCTTAATTAGGCAATTAGACATGGTTGACCGTCCACCCCCTCACGCTCGCCCGGGCACTAACAGAACCGCGCGCACGAATACAGCGGGCATACGGCGCAACCTATTCCAAAGCCAACTCACTCGCCGCCCAACACCCACGACTTCCTCCCAGTCTTCTAATAACTCCGCTGAGACATTACGTCTTGCGGACGTCGAGGTGCTATCCGATACCTCTGACATCGTTGTCCGCGACAAGAACGGCGAATTCGACGTTGGTGATCCGCCTACACCCCCTCTAGACGACTCGGAGGAAGGCGGCGCATTGGATGATGCGCAGGAGAGCGAGCGTACGTAGAATACTATATTGGCCCTATCAGGTTGGTAGGGTAGTTTCTTGTGATGTGCGGCTACTGACGCATCGTATCTACAGGCGAGAGGCAAAGATTGGCAGAAGCAGTCAAGCACTACCAAATAAACCACAACCGCGCTCCAGCGCAACCCGAAGGTAAGACTATGCGAATAGCCTCTAAGCGAACATCCTCCAAGTTTACGTAATGCTAACAAGAAATAGAGGTCCTAGAGACACTCCGAGCCAGCATGAGAGCCAAAGTAGCAGCCCTAGCCGAAGACAACTGGATGTACGAGCCAGAAGAGCAGCATCGGCCGCAATGACATTCATCGTGAATACCTAGCTACGACAATTATACGGCTATCGGGTCCAAGCAGTTATCTAATTTAATCTAATCCCTCAGCAGCCGGCATCGACGTAGGACCCTTCAAAGCCGGCCTCTTCGCGCCTCCACCCGCCGCAGCACCACCCCCACCACTGCCGCCAAAGAAGCCGCTCATCATGTCCATCAGCGGGTTGCTCTGTCGCGGCTTCTGGATACCGAAGTACATCTCGGCGATTATCTCCAAGGATTCGTGCCATGACTCGACTTCGGCTAAGAGAGTAGAATATTTGCTGTGCAGTTGTTTGTATAAGTCCGGATTCGCTCGCTGGACCGCGAGTAGTAGGAGCCCTAGGAAATTAAGGAGGGGTATGCTGGGGTACACCCGAATGTCGGCGCTATTGCTACTGACATCCTGGACGTTAAGTTGGCCTTGCTTGTCCTGGCTGAGGGCACTAGTGAATAGTCGGTAGCATGCATTCGCTGATCGGACGTTTCCCGTGAGAAGATACGGCAGCACTCCCCGCGCGGCATATAAAGCGGCTGTATGTGCGTCGTCCTCCTTAAACCATTCGTATTCTAAGCGAGCCAACACTTCGGCCGAGTCCTTCGTTCCAAGAAGTAGATGTCTCTCTGCATCGTACGGTTCGTGCTCTTCCGCATATAGCGAGCCCGCAACATGATGCAGCTCGGGGTCGCCCGCGGGGTACTCGCCGAATTTGGAAGACCATCTAGACAGACATTAGTTAGTATAGTAGACAGCTTAACGCAATACTTAGGTAGTCAAACAAGCACAACGCACGTTATGATCTCCCCAATATACTTCTTGCGCGTGGGTTCTTCGCTGTCGAACAAACGCAAACACGTGAGCAATCGGCCCTTGGTAACAGCATCGGGCTTCAGTTCCGCTTGTTTGTATATATCGACCAGCAGCACGCAGAGATCGCCACCGCTGCCGCCCTGGCCCGCCTTCAGAAGCGACTGTGCAACATTGTAGAGTATATTTATAGCGGCATCCCAGTTTGCGGCTTTGGTGTATCGAGCTGCTACGACGCGAGTCTGCTGCTGGGCTTCGTAGAACTGCCCCTCACTGATCCGCTGCTGCAGGCGAGCAATGATCTTCTCGATCTTGTCGCCTTTGGCGTTCATGATTTAAGTACGATATGTATCGTAGAGAATGCAGGAAGTCGAAATACGTGGTAGAGAAGTATGTGGGGGAGTGAGGTTAAGGAAAAGAGAAGCTGGTAGAATACATCGTGACGTTTAAGTTAGGTACCTCATGGTGGAACTTGAGTGCTAAGATTAACCCTTGAAAGACCTGGGACGCCCGACTTGTGGCCTAAGCTCTTTAGGTAGCTTTGCCCCGCGGATAGATCTAAGTGGCTGGTGTAAGTTGAGCCACCATTGTTAGTACATAGAGCTTATTGAGGTCTTTTTAAATATCCTGTTCCAACTTATATGAGTTAAGTATGAGTTAAGCTATGAGTATGATTTCTCTATTTTCATATGTATAGAATCAAAATGAAACGATTAGATCTTATATTAGGTAGTTACATTATATATAAAAACCACAAACCAGAAACCAACAAAAATAATCCCAAAAATAATCCCAAAATCTAGGGTAAAAAAAGAGAGGGAAAAAGACTAAAAAAATAGAGTTGGTCTCCAATGGGCGTCAATCGTTAGATTGCACTAACCGTGAATCGAACACGGGGCCAGAGTAAGTATCTTCAAAGATGGGAAACTCCGAGGTTACCACTACCCCATTAGTGCCTATGACGAACGATATGCTTTATCATCTTAAGTAACATGCTCCATAATCCACATTCTTTTTTCCTCCCTTGTCTCACCCTCCTCTCAAGTATAGGTAGTCAGGATTTGGTCATGTAATAGGAAAACAGGAAGTAAGCCTATAAGAACAGCATATATTGCTGTTTATACCTAATTTCGATAATGTGAACTTCGCTTGCGCTTCTAAGGATATATATCTGAGCATATGAGTATACATATTTACGTGATAATGTGACTGCATATGTACATACCTAACCTATACGCCGTATTCAGGGTTGCCAAGTACGGATTCATGTGTATCAACCCGTCTATGACTCCTCGCAACTAAGGTATAAGTATTCATTCATTCCTGTCTCGAAATCGTAGTTTATGTTCATCAGAATGAAAACTATCATTCATTCACTTGCCATATATCATCAAAATTCTTTTTTTATCTCATAATGTTTACTGGTCGCTTTATTACAACAGCCCACAGTAGCGCGAGCGCTGTAAGAGGACGCATTGCGTATTCTTACAGACCCACATTTAACTCGCATCTATCAAACCAATCAACTCAAATTGTCGCTTCCACCAAGTTCTCGACTTCGAGTTCCGGTCTTTCAACTAAAAAACCTGCCAACAACCCTTCGAAGCAGCAGCCCGATGAAATCCCACCCACGGGCTTCAGCTTTGAAGGATTGGGTATGACCCGAAGGACTAAGATCGCTGTCATTATTATCATAAGCATATTCGCTACGATGGAGACTATTTTCTATATTAGATGGTTTTGGGGTTGGTACTCAGGTACCGAAGATGATGAGACAGTACCTGAAAGCAAGGCTTGAGCCCAACTTTGCTGTCTCGTTTGGCTACGCGGTTGATGATGCAGCCTCATCTCTGCAATAAGCCGAGAGACTTTTTTTTTTTGTCACGCAGAGGACCTTGTATTATTATTATTATACTAATGTCTCGGAGGAGATCTATTCGCCGCTCAATTCAAACGATCTCAGCTCTTGCACTACTATCCGGGATGATGATGGGTTTTTAAGCGAACTTAGAGGGCTCAATAATTTTTTACACACCTCGGGAGATCTCCATCGGACGTTCGTTCGAGTTTGACTCGGCTTGTCGGGTGTTGTAGCGTTCAGCCGTTGCACCACTGCTTGCGCCATCTAGAGCTCTATTAAGCCTTAATAGGCTCTACGAAATTAGCTATGGGGAAGCCTTAGATGCTAGCGTTATGCGTGGTGGTGAGGGTTAGGTACTACGCGATAATAAGGGGAGAAGTAAGTACCTACACCTATACCACCTCGACGCGTTCAAATATCTTACCTAGTCATGTATTTCATATGTCGTCTAATATGATAGAGCATTCAAGTTATCATAGAGAACGTGACAGGAAGGGTGTTCATCAATGCAACTAAAATAGGGCGATCATTCCAACTTCCAACTTCTCTCTAGGGGGTATACGTATGCACCGCCACTTCACTCTTAAGAGTCGAGACCTTCTTATACCCTTGTCAGTCTAAATCCGTCTAAATTCGGGGTCGACTTCAATCTCAATTGGTCCGTAACTAGTATTATCCCTGTTGTTTTTGCCTTGTTTTCGGATGTACTACGAAAAATTTTAGCCACATAAAGTCAAGCCACTTAGATCCCTTAAAACGAAGTATAATTTAAACAAGATCTCTCGGAAGCGATGGGGCGGCATGAAGATAATATGAAGTGCTAATTTTGATTTCTCGTCAGTGACTTGTTCATGCGTCTCTCGTTATTTGTCTTTTAATTCACTCGTTACCTCAATCGATGTTGTGTTGCCTTTTGACGTGATACTCGTGTATATTGGGATAGTATTTTATACTTGAAAATGGCTGCTGCTGAAGTTGAAGAGGCTGTACCCGCTGGCGGTGCTGATGAAATTAAGCCCTACAGAATACATGTGAGCCACTTTACAATCCAATTTTATCGAATCCAATTTTATACCTATCTCAATCAAATCGGAAAGTGTGGCTGACAACGCTGTTTATAGGTATCATCAAAATATCTAGAACTCACAAAACAGAAACTTGAAGTTACCCGATTGCCTCATGAGTTCCCGGAACCGAAATCGAAAGATTGGTGGGAGCCTAAGTCTCAAATAGAACCACTGATTGACTTCTGGTTAGTCTTCAAACCCTTCAGCTGAAATTGGAATGAAATGCACTTATACAGACCTTGTGTATCCCCAAATGTCTATACCTTAGGTATATTAACAATTCCAGTAAAGCTAATAAATAAATAGGTTAGAGCAATATTCGTGGAGAGTCCAAGAAGATCTCTTGAATACGGAGTTGCCTCAATTTCGCACCGAATTTTCTATACCTTCATCTGAAGCAATCGTTAGAATTAACTTCATTCATGCTCGTTCTTCTCATTCAAATGCAATACCCCTTCTTTTGATACCCCCATTCCCTTTTTCAAACCTCTCTTTTGGACATCTCGTCAAGCTTTTCACAGAACCGGAAGATGTCGCGAATAATCAGCCCTTCCACCTAGTTATACCCGCTCTACCGGGGTTGGGTTTTAGCGACGCGCTTCCGAATAATACACCGATGATCTCATCCACAGGAGAAATCTTGAATTCGTTAATGAGCCGACTTTCATACCCTCATTACTTGATAACGAATGCAAGTTCTGGAATCAATTCACCTGCGGAAATCGACTTTAAAATTGCCAATTATCTAGTAACTCATCATTCCGATTCCTGCCTGGGTGCTCACTTGATATCACCCCCTTTGGCACGACCGAAGCTCCGAGAAGCACCGGTCGAGTGGGCAAAATGGTCCGTTGCAAGTTTATTTCGTGCCCCTATTCTTGGGTACCGTAAAGAGGATTTCTCTGCTCTCAAACGAAACAGCCTCTCTCGTTCGTCAAAGAAAACGCCAACTCCCGCTCGGTTCGGATTAAATCAATTGGGTCTTCGGGAGCCAAACACCTTAGCATATGCGCTGTGTGACTCGCCAACAGGTCTGTTGGTCTTCGTGCTGAAGAGTCTCCGCTTGCTTGACCCCAAGAAAGAATTTGCACCTACAGAAGTGATTAACTTCACTCAGCTTTCTTGGCTCCCCGGTCCAGAGTCAGCCATGAGATTCTGGGCACATTGCGCACGGTATCCAGAAGTGGATAAGAAAGTTCGCTCACGACCTAAAATCGGAATCACAGTATTTCTAGGCGATGAGCCTAGTACGAATGAGGACACGGAAGCAGAGGCTATCGAGCTGATACAGGACGAGGCAAAGGACTGCTATATGTGCCCTAGTTGGGCCAAGACGAAATACAATGTAGTCCATGTCAACCGTGCGATAGGAAGATCGGGACTCCTAGCTTGGGATCGACCCGAAATCATTGCTACAGGTGTAAGAGGGGTAGCCGCTTCGATTTTGCGGTCAGATTCTCGATTACGGCCTGCGGCGTCACCGACGCCAGCGCCAGCGGTGGCCGATTTAGAGCGAGTGGTAGTCCACGACGACACTACCGTTGAGCAACCATCATCTCCGCCGGCGCAAACAACTCCAACACTTCTAGTACCGCCAAGGGGCGAAGAGCGCAACCAGCCACATAGAGAAGTCAGCGATGAGACGGCTGTAGGAAGCAATGAGGATATCCCTGGGAAAACTCTTTCCCCGGCTCCAAAGGTACCAAGTCCAACGCATCTTGCACCACCGGCCGATGAGCGAGAACACCCGCGCCGAGAGGCGAGTGATGACACGGCTGTAGAACAGTCTAATAACTAAAGACAATAACTATTGTAAAACACGACTTCATGTTTACTTTGTTACGGCTATCATTTAAAGGGGTTGGGGGGAAGTGAGAGGGTAATTAATGACCCGTATATACCTGTCTGTTTTTTTCCTGAATTGTCGATGATACCTTGTTAATATGATGTATATTAGAAAGGCATTTTAGCTATACGTTCTAATGTTTGTAGGATTGATGGCCTATAAGTGTATATGGCTAAAGGAAAGCATCTCAAACCAAAGATAACATACTAAATAAATATAACTAACTGCAAATATATTAGATGTTCTCGGTTCATATCATTGATAACTGTAAGTAATCAGCCTATAAGCTAATGTCGATAAGGGGCTTTATCATTGATAACAACTAAACTGGTACCTAACCTAAGACTGGTATCTTAATCAGGTTTCATATCTGGGTCCGTGAATAAGTACATTAGGTACCTAGGTACCTATGTATATCTACCCCATAATGGATATGAGATGTACATCTCACGGTACGTAGCGCGTTTGAAGTTAACAGAATGCAACGCAGCAAATCGCAAGCCGCAACTCTAATCCATGACAAGATTCTAGACTTGAACCAGAGTCGCTAAAGTTGTAATATCATAACTAATATCATATCTAATATCATAACAGCAAATACTCGGCCTCGGCTTTTCCTCAAGAGCAGAACTGGGTTACATAAATCCATTTTCCGATTTAACCAACGTCGCTCGATGTAGGCATGCTATGACTTCATCGCGATGGGTGCCAGCGACTCTAAGCTAGTATTCAAAAAGGGGATCTTCAGGTTGTCAGAAGAGCGACATATACCTGCCGATGACCCATATTGGACATCTGTTAGTAGTAGTGGTCCTATATCCCATATCCTATAACTATCCTATATCCTTACTTGACTTTCTTTGTTCTCTAATCCTTCGCAGTTCTGGGAGCTCCCGGAGTCCTCCGAGGACATATTTAGTCTCTTTGCGCCTGCAGATATTCGTCGAACTCGTGATAGAGCAATTGAGAATCTAGAAACTCTTATACTTGCTGTGACGTCTCGCCTTTTCATATTGCGACACCATCCCTCATTCCCCGACCCCGAGTTCGCACCCGAGCGCGATGCCCTAAATTGTATCCGTATCCTTACCCGCGTTCTGCCCTACCTGTACGAAGTAGACCACCTGCAAGGCTGGGAAGATAAGTTCTTTTGGGGTACTAGGCGAAAGCGGACGAGGCGAGCTACTATCGCGAACGAGGTGCTTTTCGATGAAGCGGAGGAAGAAGCGAAGCCGCTCCCTGCTGACGAGTTCGAGGAGGCAAAACCCTTAGCAGAAGAGCTTATCGATACTCTCATCGACCTCCTTTTCTTCTCTGACCTAACAGTTCCGAAGCAGCCTCATGGCAAGCCAAAAGTCACCTATGCCATTTGGCAGAGCGGCGTGGGCTGCAACACAGCTGTACCTACGACAAAGGAGTACGAGAGTAACCGAGGCGAGATCCTGCGCCTTCTCTTGACTCTAGCGGGTCAGAGCATGTATATGTCCCCCAGCATACTACCAACTAGGGGGGCCAGGTCTCTAACATATATTTGCACATGTCCGGATAAGCAAGTCGTCTTATCCGTCTTGTGTTCCCTATTGAATACTGTAAGATCCGCTCTCGATAAAACATGTTCTCCAAATACTAATTTTCCTAGACCCTCAAATATAATCCAGCAAGCTGGCGTGTGCCTTATAACACTCTTATGTTCAAGGACCCAAAAGAGATCCTCATCGCCTATACCTTACAGTTCCTACTAGTCACCCTTATTTACCCAATACCCGAGCCCGCTACTGGCTCTGCGCCCAAGAATTATTATCGCCATTTCCTCGGAAGACTACATCGTCCTCAAGATTTCCAATTCATTGTTGATGGTATGACGCGGATACTCAATCAACCTATGCAGGCCAACATCTCGTATATTCCCGGGACCCAAACTACGACTAGATTCTCTCCCGAGATAATAATGCTGTTCTGGGAGATCACCCAATGCAACAAACGATTTAGATCTTTTATGATCGATACGCAGAGAGCACACGACTTTGTTATCCTCCTCCTTTTCTACGCCACTGAGCATAAGACAGATGCCTCAAAACAAGGCGTCGTACGAATGTGCGCATTCTTGCTACAGACGTTGAGTGTCGAGAAGAACTTTGGCGTCAATCTCAATAAGCACTTCGAAGGACAGGAAACATTGCCAGTTGTTATTCGAATCCCTGGGTTCAAAGGCACATATGCCGATTTCTTGATACAGGTAAACAAATCATATACTCCTAAGAGTGATTTTAACTAACTCTCATGAAGTCCATATACAACCTCATCACAAGAAGCCAGGGCAAGCTTTCTGCCATATACCCTGCGCTACTCGCCGTGATTAACAACATAGCTGCTTATCTAGAGGGCATCAACGGCACGACGGGTTCAAAACTACTACAGTTGTTCAATTCGATGTCCTCCCCTTCATTTCTTCTTGCTAATGATAGTAACCACGATCTCCTCGCATCTCTCCTAGAGTCGATGAACGCTCTGATTGAGCATCAATACAAGAGTAGGTAGCTTACCAATACATACTATTAGAGCTTTCTAACAGGATATGCAGAGAATCCTCACTTTATCTACCTAATATTGAAGAGTAGAAAACGTTTTGAGGCGTTACGAAATTTTACGCTTGAGAGCGGGCAAGAGGAACTCGAGCGAAGAAGTCGTCGAAGGAAGGAAACTGGACAGTCACTAGACCCATTGGATGCAAGCTCTAGGCGTAGTTCCGTCGAGAGTCTACGCAGCCCCGTTACAACACAACCAAGAACACCAACGTTAAGCAATGTACCAGAGGAGGATACGACGTTTGCTATCGGCGATGCTGAGGATGATAGCGATGAGGAGGACGATGACCGACCGACACCGGCGCAATCGAGTCCGAGCGAGAATCCTTCTCGGGCCTCTTCTGTTGTCGATGTAGAAGATGCAGTACCAACGCAACTAAGGGGAATGTCGGAGAAAGCTAGGGGGAAAATGCCTGCGGGCGTACCGACATTCTCTCGGCAGAATAGCGTGACAAGTCTCAGTAGCTATTCGGCAGCCGGTCAATCCGCACCTGGTATTTTCGAGCCTTCGGCGGAATGGATCGAGAGTTGGCTTCCCGAGCTTCCTCTCCATACGATCCTCACCGTCATCCAGCAATTGACCGTGTTAATTAACCGGCAAGGACTGACGGCAGAAGTACCATCATCCGCAACCTTGAAGGCCATCCAAGAGGCAGACTTAGTCGGCATAGAGCCTTCCTCGATTAGAGTGCATTCATTCGAGTGGTCGCCCCTAGCTCTAGGTTGGTACGAATCGCTAGTTTGGAGCTTCGTTTTCGCAAGCGAAATGCAGGTCTCGAGGGGCACCGTTGGCGTGTGGAACGGAACGGCGATCAAGTTGTTTAAGGTGCAGGAAACTGCCGCCCAAGGCCCGACCTTAACATCTCCCCGAGGAGCGGTAGATGCCGTCGGGAACAACATCGTGTCGAGGATCGGGTCTATCAATCTGCGAGGTGCGCAGGTGTCCCCATCATCTCCTGGACTTCAGCCGCAGCGCAATGCGTAGACTTGGCCATGATTATAATGATAGAGAGTAGTCTAGCTTGACTATGTACGTACCGTAGAGCGAATATTTACCATACTCTACAACAACTACATATGTTACCTGGGGGATTGGTTTAGTGTTTAATTCATATCAGTTCTCTGGGAAGGAATTTAATGTATGGCTTATTTAACCCCGAGTTGCTTAGCTGTTGATGATAGAGCCTACTATTTTATCACGAGCCGCAAGTTATTTATACCCAAGTCCTGGTTGTAAGTCCTAGTTGTGACCTAGGTAGCGTAGTAATCATAATCAATACTCTTGATAACTCTACTTTAAAGATAGGTATACCTACAAGGACGTAGCTTCTGACTTACTACAAGTCACAGCTGCTGTACCCCGTGGGGAATATACTAATTGTCCAATCAGGGAGCCGAGCACCGCTTCTCCCGGCATGGCGGTCCGCGGAGCTTTAAAGCGGAAGCGCCTCCAATTCGTCGTTTTCAAGCTCTTCCGACCTTCAACCGACAGAAGCTCAGGGACGTAGAAGAGGTTGGAAGGAACTGTAGATCAGGGGTTTATATAAGGGCGTGAATGTAATGCGGCGATAGATGGACAGGTCCTATAAAGACAGACCATCCCGTCTATCTTCTTTATAGTTATAACTACCTATTACCTATTAGTTAACTTTCTTTGTCAAACACAGCTCACAGCCTTTCGCCACGATGTCAACTACACAGACCTCGCTCGCCGAAGCCGAGGCCTATCCCATGACGGAGCTCCGCCGTCCTCGGCCCAAAGACGCGGAAGCTTCGCCCGTAGAAGACGCCCCGACCGACGTGGATATCGCTAGAAGCGAGCCCGCGACGCCGTTTCTCAAGTTGATTGTTGCGGGGTACTCGTTCTTCTGCGCCGGGGTGAACGACGGCACGCTTGGGCCTTTGATCCCGTATATTATTTCCAGCTTCGGGATCGGTACGGGCGAGATCGCTATCATGTAAGTAACCCAACCTAGTTATTCTATAACCACGTATAAGTAAAATATTGTAAACCGTTTAGAAAGCTAGGTCAAGTACTAACCAACATCCAGCTACGGAACGACCTTCGCGGGCTGGCTCCTCGCCGCTGTTACCAACCCCATCATGACGGCACACATGACTCTCGGGCAACTCCTCGGCGTCGGTGCCGTGTTACAGCTACTAGCACATTGTCTGCGGCCGTGGAGCCCACTGCCCCTTTTCTGCATCACGTTCTTCCTGCAGGCGCTCGGCATGGCGTACCAGGACTCGCACTCGAACACGTTCGTCAGCGGGCTCAAGAACGTGCCGCATCGCTGGCTTAGCTTTATACACGCGTATGTAATGTCAAAACTTACCTCTTACCTCTAGCTTGGCCCTTGACTTCACTTCACTTGGTTACATTATATTACATTATTTGCGGAGTTTCTACATCATTACTTAAACATCCAGTCTAGTTATAAATAACTCCTACTACTTCTAAGAGATGGGTGTCTAACCTACTAACTTTCTACCTTCCAGATGCTACGCCCTAGGCTGCTTCATCGGCCCGCTCATCGCTACTGCCATCGCCACGAGCACCAACACCATGGCCATCGACGGCTGGAAGCGCGTGTACTTGGTGCTAATCGGGATCTCGGTAGTAAACGTAGCCGGCGTGGTCGTCGCTTTTCGAGACTCGCTCTGGAGCCGGTTAAACGCTGCTCCCACCACCACAGACACAGTCCTGCGACAGAAACGCAACCGCGCCGCTATGACGGATATGGCCCGCCTGCTCAAGTCCAAGACTCTCTGGCTGATCAGCATGTTCTACTTCTTCGAGCTCGGGGCCAACTTCACGGCCGGCGGCTGGGTCGTCGAGTTCTTGACTACCGTGCGCGGCGGTAGCCTCTCGGCTATCGGATACGTACCGACTGGGTTTTACGGCGGCATGTTGGCGGGTAGGTTGTTGTTGGCCGAGCCGACGTTTCGGTACGGCGAGCAGCGCATGTTGTTGGTGTATAGTGTGCTGTGCATTGCGCTGCAGCTTGTGTTCTGGCTGCAGCCGAATATTGTTGGAAGCGCTGTGGCGCTGAGTTTTATCGGGTTCTTTACTGGGCCTTTTTTTGCTACTGTGAGTGTTGCTTCTGAGGACTTATTTTTTCCCCTTGAACGATTGGTTGTGAAAGTATTATATATTAGGTATTCTTACCTTATGTACTATTACCTGGTTTACTAATATGTATACTTTCTCTCTGTCTAGGGCATGTCAGTCGCTTCGAAACTCTTCCCTCGGGAATCACAACCTGCCGCTCTAGGTAAGACAGACCCGTTTTATACGTAGCAATTTATGTTTTTGACGGTTTAGAGATTGACAACCCACTCTCAGGTTTTATCTTCGTACTCGCGCAAGCCGGGGGCGCTTTGTTCCCTTCCATCACGGGTCTAATAGCGACGAACGCAGGCGTAGCTGTATTGCAGCCCATCGTATTAGCGCTGTTCGTTGTCGGCGGAATCAGCTGGTGGCTCGTGCCGAAGGTACAGCAACGAAACGAATAGGATCAAATTGATAGACTTCTACGGATGTTGATACTGAAGAACGTAGGATGTAGTTGAGGAGTATAAGAGGATAAGGGGGATTTAGCTGATAATACCTTTTAAGCCGTATATATACGACTCTTTATATTAAGATAAATATAGACTGCCTCCTAGATAATTAATAGAATGGGCTATAATAAAAGATCAGTATAGAATTCAATACTAAAACAAGTGTATAGTTAGTTAATTGCTTTGAATGTGAGAGTTATCAAAAGGCTACGCACAGTAAAAAAAAAAGAAACACTGTACATACTTGGCAGCCGCAAGCAGCTGACAAGCAGCCCACTTGTTCCTACTTAAACCAACGAAAATTTCTATACTTTTTTTTTCTTCTTCCTTCCAACCTCTTTCCTCCCGTCACGACTAGCAAAAGACCCCCCCCCCCCCCCCCGGTGCGGAACAGCGCTTATCAGCCAGTATTATTCATCACGTCGAAACAGCATTACACTGCTATATCATATCACATTATAGCTACCAATTGCTTGTTTAAATATAGGAAGAATAAACCAAGTTTCGACGAGTAATTGCGGTAAGTAGGCAAGCGCAGTGTATCGCAAGACACCGGGAAGTCTGGGTTGAGGGATCGTGCAAAGAAACACGGGATATCAAGACAAGATACAAATTGCCCATTACGCAGGTGGGTAGGTAGGTCTATATATACCAGCTTCTAATTATGCTAGAGCTTGCCGTCTCGATATACAAACAGCGAGCAAGTGTGGACAGTGAAGCAAGATTGAATAATACGCGTCGTCCTATTCTTATAGGTCGGCGTTCCGCAAGTTGCTTAATTAGCGTTTAGCACGTTGAAGATGGGCTGAGGCTTAGTGCTTGCTGGAGAAATTCCCGTTTCCCTTTATATATTTTTGCTGGGTTTAGGTAGATACCAATCTAGGAATAATAGTAATATATCATTGAGGTTATGTTTAATCATCAGATGTACTATATAAGTGATGACTGCTCTGATTACCCAATGGATGTAAGGTGCATATGATTCCGTAACCATATCGCTTATTCAGATTCTAAATACGAACCTATCCCTCAATGACAAGCACGTATTCCTTGTTTAAATCTTACTATCGGGTGGTGGTCTAGGTTCGTCAGCATCGATAAATATCCGAGTTACTACCTAAACTAACAACGTTTATTACTTACTCACTTGAAGTTGTTCTTCATAGTCCGCAGCTGATCCATAACCTCCACGGGATCTGTCTTACCGGTAGCCTTCTGGACCTCGGGATCCTTCACGATCGTTAGCGTTTTATCATCCCATCATTCTCGGGTCTTCATCACTTACCTCTACTCGCATGAACACGTTGTGCAGCTATGCCAAATCCGTTAGCTCCAACCATTCGATTACAATTGAGATAAAAATGCTTTACCTTCTCGTCGCCAATTGTAAATTTCCCTTGCGTTTCCTTGTTACTGTCCGCGAACGCTTGTAGTTTCTTGATAGCCTCGTTTTGCAGGACCGAGACGACAAACTTGACGTTCGATTTGGTGTACTCGTGACCGGGCTATCTAGTGTTAATATGGGTGAAATATTCAACAGGTTCCCCTGTCGCCGAACAGATGAATACTTACATAGACTTTGGTATCATCCGGGAGGGAAGCCAGCGTCTTATTCAGGGCTGTATGCATTTCCTCTGCATTGCCTTCAAAGAATCTTCCGCAGCCTAGGCTTTGTTAGTCTCGAGTCTTCCAGGCCTGCTGTAGACCGCAAAGTAATGTGTATGCTCACCTGCGTGGAACAGGGTATCTCCGGTGAAGACGGCCTTGTCGTCACCGTCCTTTACATACCAGCAGATGCTGTCCTGCGTATGACACGGCGTGTAAAGGCCCTTCACATCAATGCTCCCGAGCTTGAATACCTTGCCGTTTTCAGGGGTCTGTGTGACACTCTGGCAGTCCTTACCCCCGATGATAGGGAGATTTGGAATGCCTAGATCACTTTTCTATATAGACGCTCAGATTAGAATACCGTATGTCGTATGTCGTATGAAAATATTGTATATAATGCATATAATTATACGAAAGGATATAGTATCAACTAACAAGTTGGTCGTTTCCACCTGCATGGTCCCAATGGCTATAAGCGTTGTTAGCGTCAAAAGAACTAGAAGTAGTATAGAAAGATACTTACTGGTGTGTATTTACGATAGCTGTGAGATTAATCTTGCCATCCTGAATAGCCTTCTTTAAGACTGGCGTAACCCTGAATATCCGGGTTAGACTACACTTACTATAGGAGGTGTGCATATCATGAGCTCTAACTCACTCTTCGGGATGCGCGGGGTCGATAATGACAGCATCTTTGGACTTGTCATCGACGAGGAGATAGGCGTAATTGTCGCTCGTCCCCGTCCCTATAAATGTATTAGTCCTGAGCACCGGGTACGAGCAGACTAGGTTAGGTACAGATAGTAGGTTTGACTTACACATAGGAATTGATTGGATCTGCATTTTGCGGGTGAAGGCAAGCTATAGCGGAGTTAACAGCGAGTCCCTTGATGGCAACAAATGCGTCTGATAACTTACAGCCGCGGTCGAGGTGCTTATTCTCCGGGTAGCTAGTAGAGGTCTTGTTCTTACAAGGTAATTCATGAGGCGGGCAAATGGGTGGCTATGATTCGTGATCCGACTAATACTCCGATGCTTACAAACGTATTTGGGGATTCGTAGCTATAAACCCGACGATATCCATGACGTCGATTCGCTACTGGACGGCCCGTCAATAAGCTATGAATTAAAGTAAACCAGCTGGCAAGTAGTGTCAAGATTCTTGATAACCTATCAGATTACTTGGATTTGTCACAAGTATAGAGCATTCGGCTTATGAAGTTCAACTCAACCACTACTTTGTAGGTCACGTAGTATATATTTTATTGTAACTATTATAAATAATATAGTTGAGACTATCTCCATAAGAATATGAATAAGGCTTATTTTAAATTAATAGATGCTAGGTTAGAACCATCAATCTTAACTCGAATTAGATATACACGGGTTTAAAGCCTAGTAAATGGAACAATATCACATACACACATGGATTGTCAATAGCATAGGTGTATTACTTAAGGAATATCATCTCGATTACTACGCAGAGACAACATCCCAAATAATGTAAATATACCCTACCTACACAACCCCGATCGGCTTCGGTTTCCACGGGCCTTCATATCTCGACCACCCCCTTACCTGACTCGATGGCATCTGCGTAGGTATTTCAACAGCTTCAGATATGCTGCCAACATTCTCTACCGCCTCAAGTTCCTCGTCTAATGCCTGTATATCGGCCTTGACATCATCCAACGTCCTCGCAGGAGCCACATTTTCCGCGTCTTTCTTCACAATCGACGAAGACGTAAAGTCTCCGTCAAGTATAGCTTGCGACAACCGTAGACACCGGGAGATGATCTTCGGGTCCTCGGACGAATCCTCGATCTCCGCCAGGTTCTGCAGCAAGACCGTCTCGTCCCACTGCTTCAACTGCTTCTGCAGCATCTTCGTCTGTGCCGTCTCGTCCTCACCTAGATACCTTAATAATAAACTCCGGCAAGCATTCGGCTTGTCTTCACCAGCACCGACGTCCTCGCCCGGCAGATTCTTCCAGTAGTAGTCCCATATCCAGACCAGCGCCTTCTTCGCCGCAGTCCTGAGTTTTGTTAGGGAAGGCAGTTGTTCATGCGTAGCTTGGTGCCGTAGCTCGACAAAAGTCGCCGGCAGCCCGATCGTTTTGGCGATCGAGTACATGCTCATCTTGCGCTGCTTGTCCTGCTGGCTGTCTAAGAGACCAGTTACAAAGCTATAATTAGATAGGACACCGTTAGCCGGATATAATTCGATACCCCAAACCCAATTACCAAGTACGATGGCGTAGCCTGACTAGCCGCATCCTTCGCCGAACGAGAACACGGCAGCTAAGCTACCGGCCCTACCCACGTGGACCGCCACGAGTCTAGATTGCCCTCCCTCTCCGGATACTCCGAATAAATCCACTAACAACCTGGAAGCATATATGCAGGAAACGAGGGACGCTATACGTACCGACTAAAAGCTGCGGCGTACGCGGCACGAATAGCGTACGATGAAGTAGCCCTGGTCTCGCGGACGTCGCTTAGGAGGGCGGCGACGAGCAGAGCGGTAGACTCGACCAAGTGGGGACAGCCGCCGCGCTGCATCCACATGGAGACGCGCGACACGGCGTGCTGCTTCGCCGCCTCTTCGGCTCTTCCCTTCTCACCACTACGCTCCTCGTCACGGGAATCGGCTGTGCTGCCAGTTCCAGCTGGGTAAAACTGCTGACGAACACGCAGTAGCTCGCTGCGGTCCCGCCAAGGCGTATGGATATACTGCACCATGATATATATATATATATGATCCGACAGAACAACAGCCACAAGTAGGTGACGAATCAGTCAAATCGTTTAGGCTCTAACCGACAAGACTTGCCGTTGCGGCGGCAGCAGCAGCAGCAGCAGGGGGGTGTTGTAATTTAAACCAGGGCGATCTTTTCGAATAACCAGTTTTGAGAGTTTGACTGTAGAGATAAAAGTACATGAAAGTAAGTATTAACTAGTTACCTACCTAGACCTTAAAGTCTCGAGTCATTGGATAGATACATACTATGTAGAATAGAAATAAAATTATAGCTTTTTCGCTATGCGAATTGCCCCACCTCGCTACCCGGAAAACACCGCTTTTTGGGTTTCTTTTATGTACCTAACTTAAAAGTATTTGACCAGTTAACGGACTAAGAATACGCGCATATCTTAGTACATAATCTTCCATTTATTCAAGGGTAACTAGTCGAATTATGTTATCCTTCTTCCTGTTACTAGCGTAGTTAATACTTTGAGTATTCGGCAGGGGATGGTACATAGCTGAAAACAATTCTTAAAAGGCAACTAGTATCCTTTCCATCGATTTATGGATATCTTAGCTAAGTTCCTGACATACATACAAGCTACATACAAGCCCACCCTTTTTTTTCTCTACCTTTTTGAAAGCACTAAAGTTCACGGCCACTTCAAGGTTTAGTCAAGCCCCCTTTTTTTTTGTTGTACCGCACTACCACTACCACTACCACTACCACTACATTGCTGTAGCTAAATCAGCCGACATAGCCGACATCTCATAGTATGGTCTTCTCTTTCAGGAAGATGCCGTACTTCTCCTTTAGCTCCTTCATTAAGGGGTCATTGATCTTCGAGCTCATCGGAGCAAGAATGCCCCTCTCGGAGATAGTACCATCGAGCACCTGCTTGACTGCTACACCGCATGGCACACCCACTAGCTTAGCCATGGCGCTGTAGCCCTTGGGATCGCCATACTCGCACAGGGTTGACGTCTTAACTTCTCGGCTGCCGTCCTTGTTCTCGATTTCGAACTTGTGCTGCAGCATTACGAAGTCTCGTTCCCCCTCCTCGTATTGCATCTTCTTCTCTAGGGTCGCGCACAGAGTGTCTAATGGGTTACCCCGGGGTGTAATCTTCTCGTCCGAGAAGATACCAATCCATCGCAAGCCACTAACGATTCGTGTCTTCTCCTCCGGTGAAGCGAACGTGGTCTTGGACGCAATTGTAGACTCGAGGTCGCCTTGGCTGCTTGCGGAAGCGCCTAGGATCTTTTGTGTGGCCTCTTTCCAGGTAACGGATTGCTTTAGGAAGTCTTGCTCGGTGTCATCTAAGAATCCGATGTCGACTAGCACTCGGATGAATTCAGGGAAGCCCTGGTATCTGAGAGTACCACGGACGATGGTCTGTGCCTCTGGAATATTGTACCGCTCCTTGTAGGGGGTCGAGTCTCGGTTCGGGTAGGCAACGAAAGCGTAACCGGGGTAGATGAAGTACGGCTTCGCAGTACCCATCAGGTCCTTTGATGCAACGTCTACGACCTTGCCGTCTTTCCAGTACTTGGCCGCATTTCTCAAGGCCAAGAGAACTCCACGAGAGGACCAGCTGAATTTATAACCTAGAGGGTTGTCTGAGTCTTCAGGAGCTGGTAAGCCGCCACAGTAGGATAAGAAGCTTAAAATCTTGCCCCCAGCCTTGTGTACTTCCTCGATTGTCTTGACGGCGTCTGAAAGGGTTAGCATTATGTACTCGGTTCACGTTTTGCGGATATTCCTACATAAGTGGTCAATGCCGGGATCTATAGGACAGTTAGTTAGTTTTTAGTAGACATGGGAAGCAAGCATTGAAGAAGGGACTTACCTAAGCCAATCTCGTTCATGACGGTGATACCGGCGTCCTTGGCTTGCTGGTCCAACTCCAACATCGCTGGCGAGACGTAGCTTGTGGTGACAACATGCTTCTTCTGGCGAATGGCCGATTTGATGACGGTAGCATGGAAGGTATAAGGGATCAAGCTGATGACTAGGTCATGCTTGCCAACTTCGGTGTCGAGAGCATTATCGTCGTTCACGTCTAGGGAGATGGGAGTGGCATGTTTGACTCCCTTAGAAAGGGATTGGGCCGATGCGAGGGTTCTGCAAGCTTCGAATAGGTCAATTAGCTGTATTGAGCTTTCGGGAGCGATATATTTGCCATACCAACGGTGACTGCAATGCCAGCATCGCTCAGAATGTGGAGCGTAGGGAGGGTTACGAAACCCGCTCCGAGCATCAATACCTTCCTATAGAATTCATGAGAAGATAGAACTACGCAATGGAGTGTTTGATTTTCTTACTGGGCCGACATCTTGTAAGTATTTACTGATCAATGGCTTAAATTTTTGGTATATGATTAAACCCAGTATTCAACACGGAGAGCTTCAATGTTGGTTCAAGCTTAAAGATTTATCATTGCGATGGAGGGGTACGCGGGGTTCCGATTACGGAATACACACTACTTTATCGATAACTATCTGATAAGACACATCTACGCCGACATGACTCACTGTATATATTATAGTATATTACCTAAACTTAGGTAGGTAGGTGATAGGTAAGTGATACCTACCTACATAGGTATATAAGTGAAGGTGAAGCTAGAGTTTGAGCTCGTCAAAATAATAGAGTATGATCATATTGGCTTTCTAACTGTATACGTGATAGAGGCGAGAGATCTTCACTTTTTATCATTGTTTCACTCTTCCCTTCGTTCCGTAAAACTACCTCCTAACGTATTTAGCCCCTCAACTCGGAAGCGTTTGGATTTTATTAGCTGGGATATCTAGCCTGCCTTCAATATCCGATAAACTCTTGTGTCATAGGCAAGAGACTTGAGACATGCACGGACTAGACATCATATGTTCGCCAAATCTTACCGACTCAAGTTTTTGAAGTAAGCAAACGGCTTCACTGAAATAAAGAGGCTTCACTTAGCGTATTACCTATCGTATTATAGATCTGCCGCGTCCAAGTAGCGACACGAAAAGTAATTAATCAGCACACATACGCTAAGGGAAGCTTAGTCGGGAACAATATTCGTGTATGTAGCACCGAGTAATAAATGCAGATAAGAGAGAGAAAGGAAAAAAAAAAAAAAAAAAAGAGGGCTGCCGCTACTAAATTCTTAGCCGGGATCGTCCACGATAGTTTTTCTCGTGACGGATGGAGGAGGTTTTGTGCTTTGCTTGTTGGAGGGGGGAGGGGCAGGGAAATATTATTATGGTGGACATTACCTTACATTAATGATTACTTCCATGGCCGGATGGTCCTTAAACGGCTAGTTCCACTGCATTAGTTTTCTTCACCCCGTTACGATCTAGCCAGCCAGTCAGATTAATAGTTGGGAAAGGAAAAGGGAAGGGAAAAAAAAAAAGAAAAAAAAGAGAAAAAAAAAGCCCACTAAAAACCCAACCGTGCATGGAAACCTCCTAGAGCAACATGTGACGCAAGCATAACTGCATGGCAGCCATATCCACAGCTTCGTTAGCGCCCCACATGGATCTCCTAACTTGAGGATCTTTGTGGGTAGGGTGGGGAACAACCCACATGGGACCGTCTCGGGCCAGGGCGTGGGAGGGGAGAGTGGAGAACAGAGGTACGTAGCTACGTACCTCTCTCCCTCCTCCTTCTTCCTGCATGCGCGCAGCAGCGTCGGTTTGGACGCAGAGCCCCAAATAGAACGTTGGAGATCCTTGCTTAGCCTGCTGGGCCCGAGCTTAGTCCCCTGCATATCGACAAACGTAAATTAGTATGGACCTATCAGAGCTGGTCTTCATATGCCTAACCTAGATCTTTAAGGATACCTAGGTACAACGACTTACACGCAACGCTTCAGAGTCGTGATGAATTCTATTTCAGGTCCAACACTTAGCGATTATCATTAAAAGTACCACTTGCCGCGGCTAACGAGTCGTCACAAATGACATGTCACGGGGCTCTTATTATGCTTGCAGTAAATCGAGATTCTCAAGTATTTTCTTGATTTTTTTTTGAATGGTCAAAGCTAAGTGCTTCATAACTACACTAGTCTTGTTCCAGCTATTGATATCTTTTACGAATCTTCTATGCATGATATGCATGTCTTTTTCCTAGGCTCAAAATTTCCAAGGTCTCAATAGATCCCTTTATCATTCCCTCACTCATTTCCGGATAGAGTTGTAGATAATTGTCGGGAAATTAACGCTGGATTTATTATATCCAGTTTTGCTAGGTTGAGGTTCACTCTGCAGCCTATTCTTTCTCTTCATCTTCTTCGTTATCCTCGTCATCTTCCTCTTCATCTTCTGATGCTGGAGGTTCCCAGGCCTCTTCTAGCTTCCATCCGTGACCTCGTCCTCTGTACGTCGTGTCCAGTAACTGTGATGTTGTTGTTCGGTAGTTGTCTAAGCTCGGATCTTCATCCGTCTTGCATGGTGGATCGTACAGTCCCATGCCCACTAATATTTCTCCTTCCTCCTCCGGCTCCTCAAGCGATTGATAAGGTATGGATTCCTCAGGAGCAACCATTGGTTGTGGTTGTTGTACGGGCTGGAACTCGTCCGGCGTTGGAGGGGCCGTGCAAGAATTGAAATCATGAGCGCTAAGGGCATTATCCCAATTGAATGAAGTTTGACCGTCAAAAGACGGAAATGGTTCCAACTCGCCGGGGCTCGAGTTCACTGTATAGTTAGGCATGAACTGTGGCGTAGGGTTCCATACATCGTGTGATATGTAAGTTGGTGTAGGATGAGTATGAGAAGATTCCGTGTATGGTAAACATAGCGGTGACATGCTAGATATAGGTGAGGTTTGGCCGGAGTATACTGCCGGAGTTGGTGGCAAATTTTGGTATCCGGAATATATGTCTGTCTGCTGATATGACATTGGTGTTGGGATGACATATTGGGAGAAATCCGGCTGTGGCATAGGTATATGCATTTGCGGCTGCTGGAGATGTGAAGTCGGATGCCAACTAACTGGCCGGTTATTCCTTTTGATGGGATCCTCTGGTGCCGAATAGGATGTGCAGTCTTGCTGCATCTGCTGCATGACAGCTTGGTTCAGGGCCTGCTGACGTCGCTGAGCAATGTTGCCGTCGTTCATCATAGTCCTCCGTCGTGCCATCATGGCTTGTGGACTATTGCTGGCACTACTCGGCTTGACAATACGCATAGCTCCCGGCGTCCGCTGCCCGGTCGAACCACGAGATATCCTTCGTATAGAATCGGAAAAGGTGAACTGCCGGGATAATTCATCAAAGGTTGGATCTGAAGAATAACTCTGAGGTGGCATATGAGGCATACTAGCCCCTAAGAGTGAGGGCATCATGGTGATAAGACGTTGTATAGAGATGTGTAAAGAGGTTATGAGTATTCCGTTGAAGATTTCGTAGGTGAGTGAGAGAAACCTCGGAATAGAGGGAGGACGGGCAGGTAAATATGAGGTCTATTCAAAGGCTAACTTAGGCTACTAAGTTCAAGAATGTAGTAACATGAGAAAGCAAAGGGCCTCATTAAAAAGGATAAATCAAACTAAAAGCGTGGGGACAGTTGCTATGTGAGATGGCATACGGATGGTTATATTGGGGCGATAGGGCCGAGAAACAATACCTACCTAGAGACATGGTCTGGTTTGGCATGTGTATGTATGTAGTAGTATGTATGCATGTAAGTGCGTGTCTGCGCGTGTCTGCTTCAACCTGTATGACGGTTCCCGCTTAGCTGTACTTAGCTGTATTATTTTCCTTCCTGCGTCATATGGTTCCGGCAGGGGTCTAGTCGGTCTAAAAAGGGATCCTTCATTGTATTGATAACCGGGGACGGACGGGTGATGATGGCAGCGTTGGCGTTGTAGGCTAGCCTAGGTTACAGTCTTTGATTTTTTTTTTCTTCCTGTGGTCGGTTGTTGCAAGGTATATTTCTAAATAGGTGGGCGGTCAAAGGAACGGTTTGAACGACGTCTAAAAAGGACAAAGGTACTAGACGCCTGTCGCAGGACTACCCTTGGCCCCCATTTGCCTTGCCTTACCTTTTCCGTACCGTACTCCTGCGGCGTAAACGAAAGTGGATGGTGTAAAGGGCGTGCAACGTAGAAAGGGGGTGTGTAAACTTGTAGAACGTGAGCCGAAATTCAGCGGGAGGGTGCGTTGGAAGGGGGAAAGGATGTGTGCTTATCCTAGCGCGAGAGAGCGAGCCTTGCTTGATGATCGTTGTTAATAGGCTCATTACATCGTGTTCAAGGGGGGGGGTGTGGGGTGTCAGACGGCAAAAAGGGGGCGTGCTAGTTAATTGATAGCTTTTGGCGTTTTTGACTATGGCCTTACAAGGATCCAAAGGCCTCACGTACATACGCAATGTACATAGTATAATGTATACTTGTATATTAAATTGTATTAGGGGATTGGATATAATACATAACTAGTATATTGTATAACTTACATAAGAGCGAGTTAGCTGCTCCGGTGAGATCCAGCAGATGCTTCTTCGAATCCAGGGCGGTTCCATCGGTAAGGTAACCCCGGACAGCACAGATGTGATTGGTTCGATAATAACATTAAATACACGTACTGTACTGTACCACATAAATATACCCCTGCCAGAGAAGGGTTGCTGCCGACAGAAGGGTGACGAGGTCCAGCTTATGCTAGGTATACTAGGAATATGATACTAGCCGAACCCGAGGGGGTAGGTGACTATTACCGCTACGCAACTCCATAGCTGCTTTACTATGGCACGTATTACCATTAGTACCATTAGCCTGTCCCAGTGGACCTTGCAAGCGGACCATGGGCATGGGCCAGGGAGCAGCCCTGGCTTGTCTGCTTGTCTGCTTGTCTCCAGGCCTCGAAATTGGCCACCGCGCCAAGACGTAAAACGCTTTTCTTAGGACGGAATCAAGAAGGAAAGGGGGGTAAGATTTGGCGGAATGTGTGGGGAGTGCGCGGAGGCGAACTCATGCCTGTACGTTGGTAGCTATGTTCCATTCCTTAGCATATTGAATGTATAATGTATTCTTTATATATGTAATGTATCCTTATATTTCAAGCAAGCTAAGGCCTTTTCTTTTTGTCCTTATGTCGCGTGGTACGCAGGTAGAAACTTAAGGCTTTGATGGCATCGACTTGATAGAATAATCGTCTTGTCAATCAGAAGATAAAATCCGAACCCGACACTTTACCCTAATCGTCTCGATGTAGGTATGTGCGATACGATACGATACGATACATACGTACCTTGCGGCCCGTTGGTGCACGGCCATGGCAGCCGTACATATTGCCGTACATATTTAAAGGTAACCTTGTTTAACACCAAGGGTAGCTGAGTGTAGTAGTGTATTGCTTTACTGCGTACTACATACGTAAGAGGAATGCCATCCGGCCTTTTTTTTTTTTTTTTTCTTATTAACAAAGTCTTGGTATATTCACTTAGGCTTGAGCAAGGACTCTTTTCGGGTTTCGACAGAAGCATGCGTACAGGGAATAAAAGAAAAGTGATCCATGCGGTTCAGTAGTGTGCTCTAGTTATACACACTATAAAATACTTAGGTAGTTACTATAGTAGTAGGTCGAAGTAATTAGTGTATGTATGGAACATGTATGAAGTTACGTACTACTCTTATTAGGCGAAGCCTGATATTGACTTGGTCAAGATCGTACCTGTGGTGGTTGAATTGTGATCCCATCTTAAAATGGAACTATTTTCGGAGTCATGATTGGATCTGAGTTAAAGTTGTCTCGTGTGGACAAGACCGACAGGGTCCAATAATATACCTAAACTAGAACATACATAATACATAGTTACATGCATACATACATAATGCATGTGCCTTACGTATGAACATGGATCATGGATGGTACATATATACATACATCTATCATTGTTGGGGTTTTATCCCATGACAGCAAAGAAGTTGCGTTGCGCCTTGGGCTATGTACCAAGGTATTAGCTTTGTAGGTACGGTAAGGTAATATCAGATGTTAGACCCGCCTGCCGTGCTCAGTAGGGTACTTTTCCGGCGACCTCTCCATGCGCCCGCTCCTTGCCTTCCTTAACCAGCTCCCCCTAAAAACCCCCTGTGAGAGGAAGATTATTAAACCTGTCGGGGAAAGAATAGGTACCTACGTACCTTAGTATACATAATCGATATGATTTAGTGGCTACCATGTTAGGAAGGGGTTCAGCGATGAACCTAATGAGACAAACTAGTTTAGGTACTTAGAAATATGTAGCCATTAATATGCACATGTATGTACTATGTACACTATCAGGTGCATCAAGCTTCATGGATCTAAAGTTGTTTACCCATTACTTGACATTGTGGATATTAAACTAATGGATGCCATTTTTTTCAATCTCAAACAACGACAATTCAATGCACATAATCCGCTCACTCGGCCTACGGGCTTTCGGGTTACTTTAGGTATAGAAAACAAAATCCAGACGCAGATCCTCCTCACATACGCAGTAATTAGGTTAGCTCTTAGGCATTCCACTCGGTTGACCAGGTAGACAATATCTAAGTAATGTATACTTACTTACTTACTTACATCTAATACGCAAATACGTATACGACAGCCGTATTAGTACCGCCAGAACCGAGTAATCAACCGTGGCTAGCTGCATTTGTTTCGTTATGATGATGTTCTCTACATACGTCGGTAGAGGACTGGCCTTCTTGCCGCCGGTATGTATGATCAGGGTTGCAACACATACATAGTACATACCACGGTATATAGAGTACGACATCCACTCTATGTATGTAGTTGTCGTTTCGATACAAGGTACATACCTATTCATACCACATACACGCAACTTTAATCCTCATACACTACACACATATGTGCACTCAGCCACCGATCATCATATTTCGTGGTTCTTATTAGCCTCTTGTCCAAAAAGTGTATCTGCGTGAGTAGCGCGCAGAATGAAACCCTCCATGCCCGGATCCGTTAGTTCCAAGGCCCCAGACAGGTGGAAAGATCCCGGTCTCGAAGAAACAAGTTGCCCAATTTCCTTCATCAACGGAGCCGTCTACCGGCTTGCTATGAGTTACAACGCAACACATGTCTCGACCAACCAAATTCCTTTCAAGGATTCAGTCCGGGATTGCTCTTACCTGCGATTTATGATTTCAAGTCAACCAATGTCAACGCTCATCCGGGATCGTTGAAGCATCACCTAACGCAGGTAGTATTCAAGCGTCGCACAAGCGGCTTTTGTCGAAGCAGTTTCCCTTAGCCCTGCTAGACACCTGGATATGGATATTAAGACGGGGTGGGACTATGGTAATTTATCTCGCATGTTATTCGGTCAGCTACGCTATTCCCGTCGAATGTGTAGGACCACCGTCCGACAATCCAGTCGCCGACATGGATAGCACCGGTCACAACTGATGCGAGGCTTGCAAGCAACTCTACGAGTCAGAGTTGGTTCGAATTTACTATTCTTGCAGTTTCACACCAATAAAGTTTTACAAGTCTCCCTCTATTTAATTAGTCGTCGTCTATTGCGACGAACCACCTTCAGCTTACCCGCCAGCCCGCAAGCAAAACAGGATTGAAAAAGGCTTTGCACTTTGGATCGCGAGTCGCGGGTCACATTCTCTCGACTGTAAGCTCATAAGGTTTAAAAAAAAGAGGCTCGGTGAAACAAGATCCATACCTGCATCCCGTGGGTTACTGTAAAACCTCGCAATGGCTGATCGCGGTAGATATATCGTATTCATCTGGAACAAAGTACCTTGCAACGCCTAATAACATGGGATCCTTCTTGAGGAAGGCCAGGCCAAACAAATGCGCTACGATTCCTTGGGAACTCCGAACCGATCTTAGCCTACCTTTGTCACTTTATGAAATGGGCAATGAGTAGCAGGATCGTGTAAAAGCCAGTTGCCAGTTGGACATCCGTCTCCACAACACCTTGGTGCGGCCAACTCTTTCCCACTTGACGATCATGGCGCGCCCATCAAATAGTCAGGGTTTCGGTAGGGATATGTACATGCCTCTTATTTGAGCGTGGTTACGTTGCCAACTGAGCGGTCCAACTACCTTGAAGTAAGCCCGGAGGCGATCTGTGCGCTCAAAATGCGGACTCGTTTCTTCGTGCCGCCTGGTGACTTGGTGACTACAACATTAATTATCTACCTAACCTACCTAACTGTAGGTACTCGTCAGCTGTGGGTTTGACCAGGGGGCAGCACTACATAACCCAGTCCTCATAAATATTTGTTTAAAAAAGTGTGGCGCTGCAGTCAAAGGGGGCCAAAGAGGCGCTCACGATTCAAGATTGCGCAGTATGCATGTCCATCTGAAGGTCTTAACTCCACCATCGTCATCATCACGATTCAATTAGACGGCCGGCGCGAAGTGCTTAAAGCGCCCATCCTACCCGTCCCACCACATACATACACATACATACCAGATATGTATGTACTCACAGATCCCGTGCCACGCCCGCCATGTAGGTCAAATGATTCAATCTTATTAGCCACGGCTCCTTTGCGTAGCAATGAATGCATAACAGCTCTAGCGGGGTCCTGTCGGAGACGCCATTGCGTACGAGAAGCTTATGCGCGAAGTGTAAATATGTACAAACAATCAGCCACGAATACATATATGTATGCATATGGTGCCTACTTAGGTTAGATCTTGTAGAAGGGATAAGATGGGGATTTTGGGTAATAAGGATGTTGTAGAAACGGCGCCAGGGAATTCTCTGGAAGATTTCCATTTCTTTTTACAGTAAAGCCGTATCCGAACCCTGCCAGCCTAGATAGACCTAGAACTTGGCTGACCACTTCTTGATTTAGATCTCACAAGGTTATCAATCGATCCCTGTTGTAACTTGTCCGTCTCGCTGTGGGGGTTGGACGGTCAAGGTGCCGCAGAGATCGACCATAATTGCTAACGACCCATACCTATACGTACAGACCTTCATAAGGGGTCACATCCTTTACGAGAGCGCCTGTAAGTATATTATTTAGAAGGATCCTTACTGATTACAGCGTATGCAAGGAACTTGAGGGCTCAGCCAAGGTCCCGATCCTAGGCGCTCGGTCTAGTTTAACTTCCTTTCCTGTTCCAATTTCAGCGCGCGTTCAGGAATCTGTTAATTAGGCGTATCAACGAAAGTCTTGGATTCCAGATGTGCAGAGAGTGTACCTCCACCAAATACTGCTTCGGCGTGCATCCGGCGAGTGGATTCAAGGATATCGCCTTTGCTGTCCACCGTAAATGGGTCCATCCATGCCACTTGGTAGGCCGTTAGTTAAAGACAAATTTTCGCATTTGACCAACCCAGACCGACCTGATACTCGCCAAAAAGGAGGCTGATGATCCCTCGTAGGTGAAGTCAGTCGATAGCTCAGTCGTAATCGTCAACACCAATACATAGTAATATCGGTAGCGTCAGACTTCAGTTTCGCATTACACCCAACTACCATACCTACCTTACATACTATGGTACACTACTACTACTACTACTAACGTTCCCTGTTTCTCCGAGCCACGACTGAGCCTCGGAATAAGAACTTATTAGTACCGCCAAGCAAACCTATTTGAGGGCATATTCCGCTGGACAATAACTGAGCCACCGTTCAGTGACATACTCATGCATGGCGTTGAGCACTCTGTGTATTAGACCCGAATAAGACACGATTGGCCGTAATCACAGGGACAACTGGACATCTTCATCTGTTAAGCTCATATTGTCTTACGCTCACCTATTAGGAGACTGTCGTTCCGGAAAGAATCAGGGTCAAACTCCGGTTGGTAGTTTACTATGGGGGACGGACTTGTTTCCAAGACTAGCAATCAATAATAACATACAAAGTCTGAGTTTCTAATATGTAGACTCGGCGCCGTCAGCATGGACGATGTAGGGGGTAATCTAAGGTAGGTAATCTTCGCGCAAACCAATATCGAAGTATACGTGGATGGGAGAGGAGTATCATCGTATCGTATGGATTACTCCTTACCGTATATATCCGGATACATGACCATGACTATGACCTCTATCACACCTCTCAAAATAGATAGGCAAACTAGGTCTCGAGAAAAGCCAATGCTGTTTCGGAAAGGTCCATCATGCACGTCCACGGTATTGTGCTCAAAGCGATGGCAAAAGCGCTAAGAATTTTCCAATCGCCTGACCGCAACAAAAACGAAAGGAAAAAAAAAATGTATCGCGGGGAAATCTGTCGATGGTAACCGAATTGCCCGAGCTTTCTGCGCACCTTGTTGTCGGAAGTGTTCCTTCAGGACGATCGAACATGATTTCAGCGGTACATCATCCAGCACGTAGCATCACTTACTATTCAATATTCGACATACTACATAACTATTCATATATAAATTTGTAGTTACATGATTACACGGAAGTTGGCGAATGATCTATGACCCCCAACGCTCGTACAAAGCAAATAAAGACATGGTTGCGTCATGACTATTGTCTCCCGCAAAAGCCAGCCAATAACCCAATCTTCGTAGCGGCCGCATATCCTCCGGAACAATACATACCTCTTAATGTTTAACGTTGCTTATAGCCTACCGTACAGCTGCTTTCTTGACCACACACATAATGAGGGTCCGAGCTGGAGGGGTAGGTAACCCAACCCATCCACCATCAAGAAGCTCGATTTGGGGGGCGTCGGTTTTAAGTCAGGCAGATTTCGATAAAGGGGGATTTTCGATACCAAGCACAAAAATGTTGCACAGTATTGATGCGGCTTTTCAACATCCGTGGCGATAGGTACGTAATATGGGATTCCATAAAAGCCACGCACTGCCGGACATGGATATTCTAAGCGATTTAGGGGTTTATAAAATAAAGAAACAATAAGTTAAAAAAGGGGAGCTTGTCGTGGACTAGTGGCCCGTGGGCCGAATACCTAGGTGTTAGTTTTGTTCGGTGCCAACTCTGAGACGTACAATCCTACGTTCAGAAGTTTCTCGATACGACTTGTCGTGCCATCATATTTCCCCTCCCATTTTGGTGATTTAGTGGGCAAGTTCCGGCGGTCCAGACTTACGGAGCACAGGAGAGCGGCTCCGGTATCCACAAGAACTCGCATGGGAGCCGAAGGTGGGATGCGATGCGACAGATATAGCACTTAGACAGACAAGCAACCTTGGACTTACACTAGACACAAACACGTATGTGGATATCGTATCGATAAAATGCGGAAATAGTTGCATATGTACAAAGTACTAGACATATTTACTAGATACTACATACTACATACTAGACATAATATATAACTACCTACATACATAGGTAGGTTATACATAGGTAGGTAGGTATGTAGCAAAAAGCTTCCCTTATGTACGACCAATAACGTTACTATGTGTTACTTACGGACTATTACCCGTGCCAGGTCTCCCCTTATTTACATACCACTTACACCACTTACACCACCTACACAGTAACATACATACATAGTACTAAGATACCTGAATACCCTCAATACCCTGAATACCCTAAATATCTACTACGAATTACCCATTCCGGGCAAATCCATCTCACACACCAACTATTGATCCACAGTTTCACCGCTCCTTGTACCCTTATTATGTACCATAGTTGCATAGTTACCCTATTTCTTACCCTATTACTTACTAGCATTTAATTCGAGGACCCCTTTGCAGAACGATCATCCAGTCTCGGCCGGTCCTTTTTTTTCACCTTCCCTTCTCCACGCCCGGCAACAGAGACACATACACACATCGGCCGTTTCTACATATGTACAATTATCCATACCATACCAGCCATACAGCCATACAGCCATTGTACAATCTCATACCAATCATACTAAATACCATAATACCACCGCTCTACCCAATCCAAGGGATGGGATTCCCTCTGTCCCCTCTCCCCCGGGATATGTACGTTCGTTACGAAGTCACCGATCCATGCAAGTCCTTTAACGAATGGGTTTCTTGCTTTACGTCCGAACTTATGCGAACTAAACAACCTGAATGTTTCTAAATAACACTATCGTGTGTTTGGCAGCCAGTTCCTGTCCCGGTCCCTGTCCTATCCTGTCCTGTCCCAGTCACAGCTCCCAGCCAGAATAGGCGCCCCCGAGTTTTTAATTGATGATGATGAGTACTATAGTTAATTATTATTATTATTATTATTTTATTCCGTCACACGACCACGGGGCTACTCGCTAGTCACATCTCATAATCGATCGTCCAGTTTCATTGTGACGACGCCACTTCCTGGCGCTCCAACTCCAACCCCAATCCCAACCCCAACCCCAAGGATCCAAGGCCGCCGAACCCGTCTCGTTGCACCTTGCGCGTAGCCAGCTGCACAGCAAACTGGACTTTCTTCTCGGTGTCCCAGTCCTCGTGGTGGCACAGCAGCCCGAACAACATACCGGCAATGAAGGTGTCACCTGCTCCTACGGTGCTAACGCAGGGATATTCGTTAGTCTACAATCTTATTCTATTCCTCTCTTCCAAAGGTTGTTCTCTTTAGGATGACGCCTCGAAGCCCCGGCTATGGGCTTTGTCTTCGGCGGTCTGACATACTCCACTACGGAAATGGTTTGCCCAGGCAAGATAGCCGGGCAAGACACGGCCTTCTCACTGGGAAGTGATAGACACGATGCACCGTCCGATCCCCACGTACAGCAGAGGAGACTCCTGCAATCATTATTATCTCAGCGCACCGTTGTGCTTGCGTCGCTTTTTTTGTTTTGTTTTAGCGACTAGGACCAATGCAACTCACGCTTTACGGGCCACGCCCGATTGGGCACTTAGGCATTGCTGAGCACTACCGTACCGCTTACTCTATGAGATCGGGTTGATGGTTAACTCGACTCAACTAGACTTAAATTCAACCCTACAAGCATTTTATACCCACCGTCTTCGCACGAGGAGAAGGGGTGACTCACTTCAGCCCAGGTCCGCGAATAGAACACAACGTCCGCTTCAGCCGCCAGGTCTTCTAATCCCTCTCGGCCCGGTTTTTCGACTTCGACGCTTACTCTTGTATTGGGGAACGACCGCCTTAGATGCCGAATGCACTGCAACGTAGTTTCAGGTATCCGTCCCTATGCATGCCTTTGGAGTGAGTTCCAGATCAGAAGCAGAAGCAGAAGCATTTCCCCCGGTTTTTGCAAAGCTTGTAAACCTGCAAACCTGCAAACCTGCCTATCCATGTGGTTGGGCGTACCTCGAAGTGGAACCAGGTATCGTCGCCGAGCTCTTCGGCAGCGGCGACGAACTCGCCGATCGTCATCTCAGGTAAGTCGTTGTAATTGACGAGGGTGCGGCTCCCGGTGGCTTCGCTACGTATGATGTAGCTACTAGCCGGTTGCTGTTGATCCTCGCGGAATATGCACCTTGTGAAATCGACGAGGCTTTTCGGACCAAAGGAGTCCACTATGGTTGCCGTCGCAGGTGTGTCGGCACTAGGCAAGCATGATATCAGGTAAGGTTTGATGTCTCGACCGCCATCATCCCATTCCCTTAGGAGTTGCTGAAGCACTTCAAGCGTATTTGGACAATTGCCACCACGACGGACTTGTAAATTGGTGGCACGTAATTTAGAATCCTCGCCCGGGTATTGAGGTACGCTACGACGTAAGTGAGATTGATCTGAGTCAGGCCATGCTTATTATTATGCAACAGGGGGGGAAGAGGGGGGTAAAACTCACTCGAGGATAGTATCGACATAACATGCCCCAACGCAAACGAGCTTCTGCTTCTTCATATTTGTCGATGTTGTGCCACGTTGATCCGGAACGCAAGTCGACACATTCAGGTTTCGATTAAGAGGTATCAATCTAAAATGGACTCTATCGGTTTACATTAATAACGCCACCAGTACTTGGGGAATTTCCCGTTTACTATTCTGCAGGTGGATAATAGTTTATGAGCCACAAAGGGGGAATATCAGCGCCACCTTTTCCCTTTTCCCTTTTCCTTTTCCTTTTTCTCATCTCCACCACCATCTCATAGGTACACTACTTCGGTGAAACCAATGACGAAACCACCCTTTATTCGCTAAGTCTAAGTCAGATCATACAATAGATGGATGTAATTAATCCCTCGGGGTATCGTTTGGCCGCTACTTAACCACTCACCTCACCTACCTATCGTACAACTTGGATCGATCCTTTCCATCGCACCCCCAAAGTGTCACCAATATTCTCCTCGTCGCTTACAGGACAAATATCGAATGCAACCCGTCTCCCGTCTCCCGGCGCACTCGAACCTGCGAGCTGTGACCCAAAAGCCGGCGGTCGTATATACGTGCATACATACATAACTTACGACCTGCCAGACCTGTAGCTCAGCTCCAGGTGCCGAGTACCGTCTATCTGCTGCTGTCGCATATCACAGAGAAAGCCCCGTCACATCATCGTCAGCGAGCGTACGCGAAAACGAGACGGGTCGAGATATTGCTTTCGGGGCTTTGTCCCCAACCTACCCACCATGTGAAACACCAAAAGGATTCTGCTCCCAGGACGGGGACGCGCAGGCAAGACGACTGTTGCGAGCGAAGGCTCAGACGGAAATTAAGGCTCGACTGCAGAACGCGGTTTATGACCGACATGCCTCCATAGCCGAGGCCTTGACTAGATTATTGCAGCCGTTCGCTTTTCGATCCGATCTGATCTGATCTGCATACAGATTGGAGATGATGGGATTTGGTTAGAGTTGATGGGATTGCAGTATTTAAAGCGGCAGCCGTCAAATACGCCGGTTTCCCTAGGTCCCAATCGCTCGTGGATTTGCATGCCGTGTAGCGCTCCAGTGGCTTTTTTTGGTGCAAGTCCATGTCTTGTTGCATTCATTCATATATCCATATGAGTGGTTGGTAACTTCTGGGAATTTTCCACTCTGGTAATAATTGCGTGCATACGATTGCCAAGTCAAAGCAGACTCGACGGTTGTAGTAGTGCTTTAGTAATCTGTAAGTGAAAATTATTATGAGAGTAGATGCGTTTATTCGAGATATTTCGTGGAAATAGCTATGCTTGCTTTTTTCTTGTAGTCGGTTCATTTAAAGATGGAGTATACCTACAGTCTGCTCAAGACTTAGCTAGGTTGTTCGAACGTTCATATAGAAATATCACCTAATCTATTTTAATAGATGTTGCGTTCACCAGCTAGTTTCATACCCGGGTAAGTAATAAACAACATAGCTCAACCACGATAGCCTTCTGATATATAGGTACTTAAGATATATCAATAGTAGGCAATACCAATAGGTAAATGGATGTAGATGGAAAGATGAGGTAACTTTGATTTCAAGTTCTCAAGACTCAAGTTTAAGACAGGAAGTAAGTAAATGACAATGCACCTTACCTAGTAAGTAAATTTATAAGTGGACTTGTAGCTAGCTGCCTGTCATTTGTTTAACTTTATCTTACTCCTTGTTCTTAGACATGAACAACCGCACCTTCCAGTATTAAAGAGTGTCATGTGCTACCAACTAAACAGGTACATAGCCTAGTATAACTATATGTACTAAACTATTCATCCTCAACAATTCGATGCTTGGTAGTATTCCTTTGAACCTTTTCATGCAATACTAATATTTTGATATCCTACTTATCTCGTCACTCTCCTAGGCATCTACATTCATACAATCGTTAATTATCCTTCTTTAGGCTTTAGTTAGATGATACTATAAACATATATCGTCCTAAATACAGGCGGAAATAAAGTATATCAAATGGAGGAATCGGAAGCAGGGCCGAGCGGGACTCAGCAACCCTCGAGGCCGGCATTAATATCATCGGGGGAGTCGAAATGTATCATCTGTCTGGCCAATGTTGACGAGCAAGAGTTTATTACGCTCCCATGCTCCCACAGCTTCCACGCTGAATGTCTCGTTAAGTGGACGCAAGTTTAGGATCCAACCGAGTTTCGAGATGGCCAGATGCGATGCCCCATGTGCCGCTCCTCGCTCCTCTATGCGTGCGGCGACGTCATATCCAAATACTTCCTCCGACCCGGCGTCAAGATCCTCCCAGAAGAGCTCAGGACATGTTGCCCCTTATATTCGCTAGCTACAGACTCGCACTTCGTCCCCGAGGTCGGCCGACCTCTATTCCCGTATATAATAGAAAACTGGGAAACAATTTACAACCAGCTGCAAGAATTCTCACCCCAGGATGCACTACGTCGTCGATACCTTCCCTGGAATCAAGCCCATCCAGGGGCCGAGTTATTCTACCGCCACGACGACGAAGATCCATACGCGCCCCCGAACGTCATCCCGACCGAAGGAGAACTTCACATGAACAACACCCCAAGTATCCACGAAGGGCGAAGCGATTTGTGGGTTAAGCGCCCTAAGCATCACGATTTCCACTTCAAATTATCCCCCGAAGATAATTTCTCCGAGGGGGAAACTTTTGTCTTCTGCAAAGAGCTCGTCGTCATGGCCCTGGAACACGAGTGGGCATCGATAGTCAACGTGCAGATCGACGAGGTGAAAAGAAATTTCGAAACTTTCCGTCAACGCTGGCCCAACGAAATCATGCCTGTAAGCTATTCCGCCTTCGAAATGCTCACGGAGGCATTCGCAAAGCTGAGGATCAAATATCTCGTGTTCAAGCGTCAGCACGAGGGGTTCATCGAACTGGGCCCTGTGGCGTTAAGATACCGGGACGCAGCCGAGCACGAGTTGCAGGTTAGGCTGGATGACTTCTGGGAGAGATACCAGTGGATTCGTAGAGAGGTTAGTGAGGGATATTCGCGCGTAACTTCTCAGGGACTAGAGATCGTTGGTTCCCACCCGGATGAGACATGATTTGGTCTAGCTGGAGCAGCAAACACTGGCTCGGAATTAATTTCTTACGTTCGTTTATGGGATATGCTTGAATTAGGCACACACAGCGATGTTTATTGTGTTGGAAAGTATATTGCCCTATTACGACTCAAGAGGAGTCGCTCTTGTCTTATTGTAGCGTGGATATTTATAGCTACTCTTAGTGAAGCGAATCCTCTTTCGTTATCTAGTATCTCAGGTAGTAAGCACAATGGAATACAGCATGAAGCTAAGCCAAGTTCCCTCATCCTAATCTATCTACCGAGTGATTTGACCATCAAGGTTGGAGGACGGGATCTATCGACCTCGTTCCCCCTCCCCCTCCCCTGTACGCCCTCCGACGGCAATGGAGAGGGTACTGCGTATATATGGTCATGTCCGTCTTAGTAGCTCACGATGTAACTACTGCTTGGTATAGTAATTTAGTAGATGTGTCGAACAATGTGATACGGGGGAGGAGGGGAGATAGTGTAAGCATGGCCTTGGAGTATACAGCATGTGGGATAACAGGTAGTTACGTGCTATATATATGCACAACTAACATTTTATTTTGTTATTATTTACACAAGAACTCCCGTATGCTGGCTGGCCAGCTTTATACTATCTTATACTTGACTTGTCCCTCGTAGTTTTCGGTATATCTGATAGATACTTTTATCTAACTCAGCACATTCTGCGCTTTATATGCCTCCCTCTATACCAGACCGAGAGGGATAGCATTTCATATCCTCGAATAGCACACCATGGTATCTCTCAACAACTATTCTCACCATCACTACACATCATAAGCTCTCGTACTCTTAAAGCACAAGTAAAACCCGGCCTGTTTCTTTAACTATTATTTTGTTTGATTTTCTACGCCCCTTTTTAAGCTTATAGGCTACAAAAATAGGTGTGTATGTATGTACAAAGCTTCGCCGCCAAAAGATATATATACAGCGAAAAGTATCAAGACGTATGCGCTATCCACTCTTACACCCTTCCACCCCCCTCGCCTCATACACTCTAGTCTGGTCTGGTTTTTGTGTACCTATCTAGGTCTAGCAACGACAACGCCAATGCCAACACCACCGCCCTCATTATGCATTGTATGTATGTATACACTCCGATTACTAAGTGGGTGATTTCTTTTCTCTTTTCCGAACTCAAAACCATGTACGCGTGAAAAGCAACATCTACAACTTACTGCCTGACTAGTACGTCCCCGCTGTGCCCATCTGCAGACTGACTTCCCATCTCAAGCTGCCGCCCTTGCCGTACCCCTCACCCAGACGATTCTGGATCAGGCTCGATATCCGAGCGCGAAGGCGGCTTATGGCCGCGTCGTCGGCGCCCCTGCTAACCGAGAGTTTGAGGTTCGCCATGCAGAGACCATAATGCACCTGCCAAAACTGTGCCTCCTCGACCCGTTCAACACTCGGCTCGGCCTCGATCTCACGCACTACGTCCGCGACACCAACGTCTTTGTTCCGTCCGGACCCGGAGCGTCCGCCGTAGCTCATCAGAAGCATCAGGCCCTGGGCTATGGCGAGACGAAGGCCGAGCGCGAACATGGCTATCGCGACTAGAGCGCAGATAGTGCTATCGAGAAGGACGCCTATGGGAATATATAGAAGGGGGAGCACCACCATAAGGGCAGACGTAGAGAGCGTTAAAAAGTGGAAGGGATTCGAGAGGACGCTGGGTAAGCTGGCGAGGTAGCTCACACGCATGACCTTGCTAATGCGAGCGTGGTTTCTCAGACCATACGCGCTCACAAGGGTTGCGATGATGGCGGCTAGACTTGCCATATCAACGTCTCCGAGTGGGACTCTAGGGGCTAGTCCCTCGTGGGGATCGGGGTGGTGCGACGAGTGCCCACCTTTACCCTCGAGGACGTGCTTCAAATTATGGCTAACTAGGTCAAACCCGCCGAAGATAAGGAAGATGCTCAGGGCGAAGCCGGCTAGCACTTCGGCGCGCTCCAACCCGAAAGGGTGCCGGATGCTGCTCCGTTTCCACACCTCGAAGTTGCCTAGGACTTCGACGGCTACGCAGATGAGCGCAGACCCGACGTCGAATAAGACTAGGTGGGAGAGGGCCGTCATGGCGAGGGAGCCGTGGGCGGAGAGGAAGACGGATATGGCGATGACGCCATGACATATGCACCAATACAGCCGGTGGCGCTGGTCCTTGGACATGGACTTCCAAGCCTCTTTTACAGTGGGTATAGGCAGATCTCGCGGCAGAGCAAGTGGTGGACGTGGCGGCGGTTCTTGAAAGATCTGGTGTTGGGCGCTGATACTCGAGTGCTTGTACTTGTGGCCACGACGCTGGCCAACGTTTGGCTTGACGGGGGAGGTGGAGATTACTTGGGTCTGGAAGTTGAAAGGATTCGGGACGCCATTGGAGGAGCTGGGGATATCGATTGGCGAAGCATTTTCGTTGGGACCGCCCGAGTTGGACGTCATGTTGGGAGGACTGGAGAAGTCGTTGATCTGGAAAGTGGGAGCTACAGGCGATAAGCGATTGGGATCGTAGAAAGTATCGCGGTCTGGTGTAAGTAGTAAGCTCCTACGCTCGTACAAGGCGTAATCCAAATCCACCTGAGGGCTATCGTCGTCGTCGCTGCCGCCGTCGTCGTCTGGAGTCTTGATAACGGGAGTGATAGATATGGGCGGTGGTGCAAGGCTGCTGGGAGCCATCCCCGATCGATTTGACGCTTATCCCGATTCAGAAATGTATAGGTAAATAATGGGGAATTACTTTGTTACCCACGGTAGTAATGGTGTGTTTCCCGTGTGCGTGGATGCGATGCGATCGAATGGCCGACCTCATCTCGTTTCCATATTCGGGTCGGCTCTCTCCTATTTTTTTTTCTTCTTTTCTTTTCTTCTGACAGGTTGTCTTAGACCGGAGGCGCGGTCGCCCAATTCAAGAGGTGCATGCAGCAAAAGAGGTGTGAGTTGCCTTGGCTGGTTGCTTAATTCAAATTGGAATGCGGAGGGAATTTGATTCGATTGCGTTGCATGAATTGACTTTTGGCTTAGTGTTAGATGTAAACCGGTCTAAAGTTTAGGCTAGTTGCTTCGCTATATGTGTACTAATAACATTTTATACTTCCCTGTGCTGGTAAATGCACTGAAGATACTTCGCGGTGGTATGTACCTACAATAAGAAGTACACGCGCCAACTCATCTTCCAACTAGCGCGTTTTAAAGTTATGGCTGCATACCTGTTACCTGTAGGTACAAGAGCCATACGGAACGTACCGTGGGGCTGCTGGATAACGGACGACGGCCCCAAAAGAGCCGCTATGAACAATGAAAGTTCACACTATTCACACTATTTACGCCAGCATCTAGAAACCACCACTTAAAATACGACAACCCTTCTGGTCGCTTTGATCGTCGCCGCGCTTCACGATATAGCGGATACTTGGATGCTTTGCAAGGGGGAACGTCCCCTCGCATTGACTTGTCCTTGACCCTGGAGCTTTCGATTCTTATGTACGAAGTACCATATCAATATACGTTCGCTTAGCTCTGATATATTTCTTCTCTTGACAAGGCACGATGGGAATCGGCACGACGTTTCCTTATTTTGAAGGACAGCAAAGCCCGGAATACGATATACAATGGAGAACACACCTCCAGCTCACATGCAAAGCCAGAATGCGTCATCGCCCGATATAGCAACAGGAGGACGCAAAAGGAGTGGTTCTGGGGGGAGCATCCTCTCTAAGTTCCCCTTTTTGCGCACATCGGATAGCAAAGCCGGTCTCAACGAATCGCGCCATGCCGAGAATTCCCAAGACCCTTCTAGTAAACCACCCCGCGCCCTCGCTGCTACTTTCCAACAACAAAAGACTCGTAGGCGCAGAGGATCGCTTCGCAAAGTTGCCCTGTTAGGTCGCGGCGCGGCGCGAGAAAAACGGGAGCTCAAGCCTCTTGCCATCGATACATCACAAACCACACAGTCAACCCCCGACCTAAGTACCACTCCCAAGCCGCAAATCATGGCGGCAGACGAGAGTCTCGGCTTAGGCATCTCCGATCTAACACCGCGACCATCTATGGACGGCTATGCTACAAGAGATAGCCTTTTGATGTCTTCACCACAATCTCCTGATAACGAGTCGCACCTTACGAGCCCTACCATATCCTATACTTCTACCACAGACGAAGAGGATATCCTTTCAATCCCTATCCGCGTCCCCTCGCCTCTCCGTCCGGAACTCTCTCCAGTATCGTCCGGCTCTGACTCCTACTTCCAAAACCGCGCGCCCTCTCTTCAACGGCGCCGTTCGATCAAACATGCCAAATCGCCATTGTCGCTCCAAGGCCTAACAGCCAGCCCACTTCCCACGGTGCACGAAAACCACGATTACAGCGAAACGGAATGGTGGGGATGGGTCGTGCTGATCGTGACCTGGTTCGTGTTTGTGATAGGCATGGGTTCCTGCTTAAACGTCTGGAGCTGGGCCTGGGATGTAGGAACAACCCCGTATGCGCCACCGGAGCTCGAGGATGACCCAACGTTACCTATAGTCGGGTATTACCCGGCGCTGATTATATTGACTTGTATCATGGCTTGGGTATGGGTCGTCGTGGCGTGGATAGGCATGAAATACTTTAGACATGCCAAAATAAGTGGCGATTGACCCTTTGAGCGTCATATTTTGTTTAAGTGCTTTGCTGATAATATACTAATATTAATTGAGTCATGTTGGTGTATGTGAAGTGATATTAGTGAATTGGGACATGAATGACGCTAGAGGATAGAAAGGATACCGGGGACGGGCGAGACATTGACTTAGAAACGGCATATATGTGATACAGACCGAGAAGCAATTCAGCTAATACTTAACTCGGTGAAGTGTTAGAATTCGACCTTCTAAAGTAGTAAGAAAATATATCCCTATTTACTCTCATAGCTAATATATAGCAATTTCATCAAAGAGGCAAACTTCAGTAGTTATGAGAAAGGAGGCTGCAACCTTTACTTAGGGGTGACATATATAATCTTTAGAGCTTATAAGACTAGATGTTCTAACGTGACATCATATACGTTTTTATCTTATAATTGCTAGAGGTCAGTATCTACATGTCTCTTGACTTATCTAGATGGGGCTCTCATCAATCCCCTAACAGTAGAATTGGAGGCTCTACTCCCAATTCAACCGCCATATGTAGACCTACTGGAGTTGACAACGCCTCTATTTCTAGAAATACGGGGTCTACACGTCAGCGACAAGACTATGAAGCATTTCTCGAGGTTGGCTCATCCCCCCAATCGCCTACTACTTCAAATAGGCCAAACAAAAGCCGTACAGCCCCTGGGCCGGCCGATAAACCACGAGCTATATGGAGCACTTAGCGGCTCTTACAAACAAAGACATTTTCGAGATCAACGATCTATAGACGTGGAAATATGCGTGGCCACCTCTGTTAAAAGCCATGAATAAGGCGTCTCCTAACAAGCCGTGGACGCTTGATATGATGAAGTCGAAATGCAAGACCGAGCGGGAACATTATCTCTCATACCTCGGCCTAATCAACGATTATAAAAGCAGCGATTTCGCTGTTGCGTATGATCAGCAATGGGAGTCTTCTTTGAGGGAGAATTCCAGGGGAAACTCATCGCGTACAAGGCCTTTTAGTAATGAGGGCTTGTACAGCCAGGCCTTCCTCCATGATACGTCTACAGGTGAATATATACGTGAGGCTGGGGAATTGGACGATCTGCCTGATCTCCGTGGTTTCAAGGGTAGTCGTAAACCGGCACGGAAGTCACAAAGAGAGTTGAGTATAGAAGGGTTCAGTGAGGTTTTTATTAGAGAGGTATCGGAGATGAGACGAGCACCGGGCTCCTCTGACATTGAAAATGCGATTGCATACCTCCAACATAACCTTGTCAACGAACTATTAAAATATCAGTTTTTCTCGGCTTGCGAGAAGTTAGAAGAACCGTTGAAGGCCGTGCTAAGGAGCACAAATTACGATATCTTGGTGTAATTACTTGAGATGTTCATAAATAGGTAATTAAACTGCTGAGTTGGCTGAATATCAAGTTTATCAAATGCAGTTATCTAAACGAGAAATCCTCTCCAAGTCTAAATAAATACTAGAATCCAGCTTGCCTTACCGCCAGTACTAAATGGATCACCTAGGTCATCATATTGTAACTCATACTGTACGCCAACTAAAATCATAAATATAGAACAGTAACTCTAAAGACACAGTACAGATCGACTAAAGAAACAGCACATCCACTTTGCACGTGATGAAAGCCACTACAAGCCACCACAAGCCACCATGCACGGCCATTTAAAACTGTACCCAACCCCATGCATATACCCCACTTGCATTGTAACTAAATGAAATTTCTATAATTTTTAAATATTGTTTTTTTTTTAAAAATATTTATAAAAATATAAATATAAATGAAATAAAATATAAATAAAATAATAAAAAATAATATATAAAATATATAAAATTATATAAATTTAATATATTTATTTAAAATAAAAACCGTTATTAAATAAATTAAAAAATTATTGTAAATTTTTAAAAAATAATTAATAAAATAATTAAAAATATTACGTAAATAATTAATAAACGTATAAATTAATAAAATTTAAAATAGTTTATTAATTTTATTTATATTTATAAAAAATAATAAAAAATAAAAATAAATAAAAATAAATAAAAATAAATAAAAATAAACAAATTTTATTAATTATATTACGTAATGTTTTATTTTATTTATTTTATTTATTTATTATTATAAAATTACAAAATATTAATAAAATATTTATTAAAAATATATTATATTTAAAATGAAAAATTAAAAAAATAATATGTGGGAATGTTGGTTATGTGACTTGGGTGGGACAAACTTATTCATTTTATATATATTTTTACGTATTTTAATTTACAATTAAAATATATATTAAATATTATTAATAATAACTTTACTTATTATATATATGATATTTTTTTGTGTTATATGTAATATCTTTATTTATTTAATATTAATTAATAATTAACGATAAGTTAATTATAAACCAATTAAATATTTAAAAAAAAAAATAGTTTATACGTTAAATTTTAATAAAAAAAGGTAAATAACCTTAAGATTTTATATTTTTATATATGGTTTTAAACCTAAGATTTTATGATTTTATATATAATTTTAGGAAATTTTATATTAATTTAAGATTTTTAAATAAAAAAAATAGTTTATGCGTTAAATTTTAAATCTTAAGTTTATATTTATTACATATAAATAAGTAATATTAAAACTTTATTTTATTAAATAAATAATTTTAAAGAAATTTATACCAATTAATTTATACGTTTATTATACATTTTTATTTATAATATATAAAATATTAAAAAAAAGTAATAATATTATAAATTACGTTATAATTTTATTTTATTAATAAATTTATATTTTATTTAAAAAAAAATTTCGATTTTACCTAAAAAGTTTTATTTATTAATATTATTTAAAAGTTTAATATTTAAGGAAATAATAATATTTAAAAATTATAAAAATATATGGTAACATTGCTTTTTTTTTTTAAAATAATTTATAAAAATAAAATTAGGTAAATTTTCTTTTTATAATAATATATTTTAATAATAATATTTTTTTTATTACTTTTTTTATTTACCTTTTTTATTATAATAATTAATATTATTATTAACTTTACCTTATTTATTTTTTTTAAATTAATATATATTTAATATGATTAAATAAACGTAAAACCTTTAATAAAAGTATATTAATAATAAAAAGTTTAACGCCGAGTTTATAGCTAGTAATGTAATAAAAGTTTTAATAGTTTAAATTAAAATATATATAACCGAAAATATATAAGGTTATAATGAAAATATAATTAATAAAATTTTGTGGTATATTTTTAAAATTAATTTTAATAATTAAATTAAAATTTATTTTAATAAAATTAAACATTTATTTTATATTAAAATAAAAGAATATATTATATTTCATGGCGTTTATATAAAAGAAATAATTAATAATTATTAAATATTAGTAAATATTACTAATGTAAAATCATTTTTAATATATTTTGAAAAAAAAACGTTTAATTTATTAAAAATTTATTTTTTTAAATTTAAGTTTATAATTAACCTAATATATATATACTTATTAAAAATTATAATAAAAAATGTTACGATTAAATAAAATCTAATAATAACAATATTATTATTATAATTATTCCTAGTAATTTAAATTGTAAATATTTAAACTATAATTATATAAAATTTTACGTTTATATTTACATAATTGTAAATAAAATAAATATAACTTAATTTAGTATAATTTATAAATTTTTAACTAATTTTTTAAATATTTTAATAAATTTAAATATTTTAATAAAAATAAATAGTTTTTTAATTATAACTAATTTAAACGTTTTTAATAATAATAAATAGCTTTATATAATAAAATTAATTTATAAGAAATATAAAAATTTTCCCAAAAATAATATAAAGATTTATTAAAAAATCATTTATTTATAAATAAAATAAATAAATAATAATACATAAATTTTAATTTTTTATTATATTAATTAAATTATATAATAATAATAATTTTAAATTTAAAAACAAAAAATATAAAATATTAAATAAATAAATCTAAATCTTTTTATTTTATTATTATAAATTTAAAATTAAATTAGATTTATATATTAATATTTATAATATTATATTAAAAAAGATAATATTGAAATTTTTTTATAAATATTTTATATAAAAAAACTTTAATTTTAATATAATAATTAATAAAATAAAAGGTTTTTTTTATATAAATAAGAATTTTTAAATATATATATTTAAATGGAAAGATATAATAATTAAAAATATTATATAAAATAATTTTAAAAAAATATTACTTAAATATTTTAAAATATTAATTATATAAATATAATATATTTATAAAGGTTTATTAATTAATTATATTAAAGAAATTTATTTTAAAAAAGGTTTATATTATATTATATAAAAATATTTAA